TATGATCAGGGAAACCCAAGTCTGAGGGCTGCAGATCGTTTTGATTAAAAACTGCAGGATGTTCCCTAGTAAGTCTTACAAAGTTACATACACCAAATGTAAACCATCACATCTGATCCAGGAAGTTCTGTCAAGTTACAGACAAAATATCCTACCAGTACATGTACAGGTACGTGTAATTAAAGTGGACTTAGCAACTTGATGCATTGACAGTTCTAGGTCAGTAAAAATACAGTTCATCAAAATGCACATGTTTGCCGCTCTGTAGGAACATGTGGCTCATGTTGCTCATGGCCTTTTGAAACTATCGTCTTGCTTTAGAAGCGTCCATCGTAAGCAGAAGCGGGTCTCGTCAAACACGGTATGCAAAGCTGATTGCTCACACAAAATCATTGCTCCTCTTCATCAGGCCATGAGACCACTTTTCAGCAGCCATGACTGGAGCGCATGTCTCTACCCTCACAGACTAGTGTACTCTCCAGGGTGGAGAGAGGTACATGTAATTGAGTAAAGTGTCTTGCCCAAGAACACTACCCTATTTTCCCGCATCAGTTTTGGAACCCAGTATCATGATAACGCATGAGTTGAACACCGTAACCATTAGACCACGGCACACCTCATGCGTGATCATAGTCGTGTGCGTTGAACTCGACATCTTGTTGGTAAAATGTAGATCATGGGTTGGAGTGCAGCTCGTGGGGTTATAGTGCGTGTGTCCTTGGGCAAGACACTTTGTCTTATTGCATGTTCCCACCCTGGAGGAAATAGGTACCACTTATGAGGCAGAGATGGTTATTGTGTTTGAATAACAATGTGTGGAGCTGCGCCAAAATTACAGTTACATACGTACATATTTTTTTCTGTATTTTTTCCCAGAGGGCTGAGATGGTTCAATGAATATTTTATTGGCCCAATAGGTTAGGGCTATTATGATGTAAAATTCTCCAACGTAATCATGGTTAATCGCTATACAAATAAGCAATATTATTATTCAGAGTGTAATCACCAAATTAAAGAAATGCCTTGCGGACATTTGTTAGTGGATGCTCAAAGAGGATTACATGAGAACCTTTCTCTGAAATTAACCATGGGATAGAGAAAAACATGGTGAGCTCTGGCGTAGTGTGCCCTTCAGAAAAAGGGATTTTGTTGCTCGCTGCATGTCTTGACAGGACTCGTCCGCTTGTCGCATTTGATTCCTACTGTTTGCCTTGATACTTGATTCAGCTTCATGCATTATTCATCAGTTCTTGCACTCCCCCTGCTATGCCGGTGAGGGGCTCCGTTTTGGATCAATATATTCCACCTTGGAGGCACAGTGTAATCTCTCGCTAAATCTAACCCGTGGGCATGCTGTCTTGCTAAGTGTCACAATTATCCGATCTTTTCTTTCGCATGTACTTGTAAATCTTTCGAATATTATTTTTCCTACATGTATGCAGCCTACTGAAAATCCTGTGCACAAGTTTCTTGTTTTGTAATTTAAAATTGTGCAGTTGCAGTAATTGGCAAACTTCATTTCACACGTTTCAAAGCAAATTTTTGAAAAGTACCGGTTATAAAAATTAAAATCAATGTCATTTTGTTAAAAACCCTTGCATGCTTTCTTGATATTGGGCATGATGGGGAAAAGTTTTGAAATTGCACAGTTACGGTACCTTAATTGTAGCGGAACATGAATATTTAAAGATTCTAAATTTCCCCGGGAAAAAGTCCAACACAAATCCTACATGTGTTTCAGACACCTCAAAAAAGTATCCCCAAACACTCGACCATGGGTACCATGTGTACATGAGAGAAATGCAAAGGATTTATGAAATTCAAGCAATTCCTACCACAGACGATTGGATCGTCTTGTAGGAAATGTGCAAGACTTTGCCTTACACACAGCAGAAATTCACCGCGCTCCACTTTATCAAACCACTTGTCCAATTCGATTTGGATTGAAGCTCCACGTTTAATTTTGTTGTCAGAAGGTATTAGTCCACGAGGCGAGAGCTGTGTCAGATGTGACAGCTGACTGTAGTCAGAGAAAACGGGCAACGTAGTTGCGGGAAGGGTGGGGAATGTGGCGTTTCATGACATTTCCGTGTCCGAAATTTCTGTTTGGGGTTACTGTATATGTGAAGAGATTTGTAAAAACCCTTACATACCGTACATGTAGTGATCAGTTTTGAGATGTTATGGTCATTAAATTTGATTTTTCTGCATTAGAGCATTCAACTTTTATGAACTACTATAATGTTTGATGATTTAAGAAAGAAATTAACCAAGCCCTTGAAAGTGCTTCTGTGTGATAAATGTAAAGTTTAAAATACATGTACATGTATGAAACTTTAACCACGTGTAGGTTTTTTTACCTCATGTGAACATGTGCATGGTACATGTACATGTAAGTTGTTAAATTTTAATTCAGGATTATTCAACTGGAAAGCACGGGTATGCATTCAAAAGTGCGAGTAATTTGTGTCAGGTTAAAAACATTTTGTTGTGGGAAAGTGATGGTGATTCTGATAGGGGAAGATTGTTTCCCTGAATGTGCAGTGGATACAACATAACTGTGGCAGTACAGTGTTATATTTATGCAGTGTACATGTACATCAATGTACATATTTTTTTTCCAAATGTTCTTGGTACTACAGTGCAAACATGTTCAATTACATAATTATTGATAATATCAATATAATTATATCAAGTACAAATGATAAAGAGTATAAATTGCTCAAAACATCCCATAAATTACCCTGTAGAGAAAAGCAAAGTTCGCTTTTGGCTGCCTGCTTAAAGGATAGAGAAGATTGGAGACACCACAAGGATCCCGCCTGCAGGTGACATGATCATTATAATGCTCGAAGCAGAACGAAGCAGAACAAGTCAGAACACGCCAAAGGAAAAAAGTCCCATGCCGGCAACGGCATATGCCATTCCTTAGCTTTTCCTATCACATTGGAGATCCCAATCATGTTCACACCAAGTGCTTTCATGACAAACACTCGACCGTGCCCTGACGCCATAAAATTCCGGCCAGCTGCGATGCCATCTGGGGAGAAGGCCCTTTTTAAGTATTCCTGCCCTGCGAAAGAATCAGCAGTTTAAAGGAGCAAGACCTGAATTGTCCACAGATCTAAAACGTGTTTCATTCAAGACGGTAATAGTTGGAATGATTTAAAAGTAGTCCAGCATGCACACAACTTTACTTTAAGAATGTGGTTTTCGTGTAATAATCACGCCAAGGATACTCCAAGTCACAGATTTCTGCCTCAAAAGTGTGCGCTAGGATTGCCATACATGTATGTACATGTACATGTAAGTCTAAAATTGGCGTACACTGTACAGTTTGGCTCAAAGTTTGATGTTTTTATTCAGTGCTAGAAATACATGTACATGTACATGTACGTACAAATGTATGTACAATGTACATACAAAAATGTATGTAAGGTAAACATTGCCGCTGCGCTAAACATGAACATGAATGTAAGACATTGTGTGGATTTTCTGTGACACAGAAAATCCAGACTTGTATGGTTGTATGGCTATCACTGAACCACAAGATTTTGGTGATTTCCGGATGAATGTGTACACCGTACTGTTGTACCTTTAAATTCAATCTAATCCACTGTTCGTGTCTGTGTTCCCGTGGGCTGAACACTTCACTTTGTGCACCTCATTTCAAGCAGCATCTGTGTCAGCTGGATATGTGACTGTTATTGATTCTGTGCTTTGTTTAGGCAGAGTGGATATTGTCTCAGTTGAGAAGACTGTTGATTTGAGTGGATTGGTCCAACGAGCAATTTACATTATAATGGTGTTTGTTTAGTGAGGATTAGCATGCCACTACCATAGCTGGGGTAGTTTTATGGTACTGCCAAAAATATTATTTTTTTTGCATGGGGATAAGGTAGCACTACCGTTTAGCTCTAAACACATGTTTACATGTCCAACGCCTTGTGTCCATGTGGCATCAACCTTACAGTCTTGAGGTCTTTACCGATACAACAATGGATTGTCTTCCTCCATGGTACAGCCAAGCCGTCATTATACCCTAGTTCACATGAGAGTTGATATTCCAATTTTGTTTTGTGTGTAAGACTGACACGTCTGCACAGTGTTCAATTTGAATGAATTCCCAAGAAGCTTCTTGAAAAACTAAATTGCAGATGGAGTTAGGGTGAATGACCATTCAGGAGCAATACATTGACCTACATGCAGAGTCATGATGATGTCCTAGCTGACAGGTGATGTCATAATTAAACCATGAATAACACATGTGAATTGCCTGCCTGACTTGACAAGCAGGCTAGATGGTTGAGTGCTTCAATCGCTCATACTGTATATGTCTGTACTTGATGAAGTTGTCAGCAGGAGGCCGTTCCTAATAAGTCCCGTATCCAGCAGGGCTATGAAGATTTCATTCTCATAGAATGTCAAAATGCATTGAGCATTTGACGCTAATAACATTACTGGCATACATGTTCATGTACAATGTACGTCGGTGAAAAGAAACTTAGGTTATTAAAAAGCTGAATCCCATGTAATTTGACACCTGTTCCCAGGAGGAAATTGATCATGTCTGGGCCTTAATTTCACACTTTCATTTCCCAACCCGTGTTGAAATCACCACAGGTCCACTGTAAGCCTAACCAGGTCCTATCAAACACGGGTAGGCAAGGCGTAGTTTTCACTCTTTTACTCGTTGCGTACATGTACAATATACGGGCTGTAAATTTTAGATTTTCTACTTGGGTGTTAATTAAAAAAGATATTTGTGAGGTTTTTATCATTATTTCCTGCCGGATTTAGTGAGAGTTGAAATCCGAAGAGACTTGTGACTCCTTGAATTAGAACTCATTCCAGAAAGTTTGGAGTAGCACTTTGGCCAGTTGCAATTTGGGCTCCAACTGCCAATTTAACTGATTTAATTAACCTACATGCATTGAAAAAGGGCGACTACGGTAGTGGATTGACTGAATTTGCTAGTATTTTGTCCTTTTTTTCTTCAGTTGTAAGAAGACCGGTTGAGTTTCATGCCATGGAGTTTGTTGAGTATATCAAGACTCCCAAGGTGGATAGCGTTACCCTGCATCGGCCCTTCTACGCCCGCGTCGAAGGCACGCTGTGCCTGACTGGACACCACTTGATTCTGTCGTCAAGGAAGACTAACACAGAGGAATTATGGGTAGGTACCGGTATCTACATGCACAGGCATGGCAGGCTCAAGTATGACACGTACATGTGCGTGTTCATGGGTATGATGTGTTGAAGTCGGGCCAATTACAAGTCCAGCATTAATGTGAAGCGTTCTAGGAAAATGAGACAGAACTTGGCAGATGTCAAAAATGAGGGTTTGTTGGAAATTTAGGAAAGATAATCATATTCTCCTTACAGTACTGTTTGTTGCACTTCAATCAGACAGTAAATCTGAAGAAAGAAAAAAAATTCACCCCATTTTTTTGTTTTTATTTTTCATTTTTCGTTTTATTTTTGCCAAAATGACTCACAAATGTCCCTTGCCACAGTTCATTTGAATCTAGTTTGTTCTTGACTTACATTCACTTCTGATATGATGGATCACTCATACCGTAGTTCCTTTGTCTTTTGTTTCCGCACTCAGCTTCTCCACAGCAACATTGATGCCATTGAGAAGAAGTTTGTAGGCTCCGTAGGCCATCTGACCATCAAATGCAAGAACTTCATGATCATCCAGCTGGATATACACGGCATGGAGGAATGCCTCAACATTGCCAGCTCCATAGAGATGCTGTCCAACTTGTGTAAGTCTGAACAAGGCTTATGGCGCCACCCTGTAATACCTGCAGACTCCATCATGTCCATGCACCGGTAACCCTTCAATTGTTGCAAGGGGTTGGGCCGGACTCTGTGTGGTCATGTTTGGTTATGCGTGGTTGTGCACAACTGTACATTGCTAACTTGCTCCAATTGCTTATCACATCCACTCTTGCAAATAGTTTTAGACTGATGGATCTAGATTGGCAGTTTTTATACTCAGTTCCCCTTTGGGCTCCGTGCCCCAACAAGAGCCCCTTGGACAGGACACACCGTGTGTGTATACTGGCGCGTGTTTATGGTGTAAATCGAGGACAACGCACATGCAACACCATCGATAAATCGAGGACAGAAACTGAATCGAGGACTCCTCGGTTGGAAAGTGTGTACAAAACCAATGAGAGCTTTTGTACAAACAAAGTACAAACAAAGGAAAAGGGAAGAGGAACAAAAAGAAAATCTTCGATTTACACCATAAACAAATGTGTCTGTTCGTGCATGTGTAGTGGGAAGAACACACGTCTTATTCTATTGTGAATGTGCAGAAAGCCATGTAGCGTCTTTGCGTGAGCGTCAGGCATCGTCTGTGATGCATTGGATTGTCTCTCCAAGGGTCACTCCAACTGTCCCATTCTTATTATGGGGGAGGGGGGGGGGGCCTACTTGTAAACAGAGCCCATAACCATGGCTTTGTTTGTTCTGATTGCAGCAAAGGTGACTCTGACCTACCCGTTTTTCTACCGTCCCATGTCTGATGCCCTGGAGGATGGCTGGCAGGCATTCCTTCCAGAGAGTGAGTTTGCTAGAGTGACCGGCGATGAATGGCGCTTGTCTCATGTCAACAAAAACTTCCAGGTGAGTGGGGGTTGACATGTATCTCCACGAAGGGAGAAATTGTATTATCTGACAGATTGTACGATGAACAAAATGATCATTTCCAGAAAAACAAATTGGGTTTCTCTAAGGGGTGTATTCATTGATATGGATGAAAAACATGTACATCTTGCCCCTCCCTAGGTATGCCCAACCTACCCACAAACAGTGGTTGTGCCCAAAGCTGTGGATGATGACTGCATCATGCAGGCTGCTGCATTCAGGCAAGGAGGGAGGTTCCCAGTTCTAAGCTACCTTCACTCCCCAAATGGGGTAAGCTTTTTCCACTTACATATGTACATGAGTCCAGAATCTTTTCAACAGTATCGTTTGGTGACTATCTTTCTACTAACAGAAATTTCCAAAAATGTGTCACTTGGCTCATCTTTAGAAAAGACCTGCGTTTATTGTTTTCTTCAAAATGACAGCTTGCAAGAAGGAATAACTGCATAGGGAGTTTTTTTTACAATAATTTGGTCAGTTACTTTTTGGATGGCTGCAAATGATCTACTCTACCTTATTTGAATTCAGACGGTAATCTTAAGGAGTGGTCAGCCCCTCCCAGGCCCCAACGGCAAGCGGTGTAAAGAAGATGAGAAGCTGGTCAACTCGGCGCTAGGTGTCGGCAAAAGAGGGTACATCATTGACACCAGGTCCTACAACTCGGCCGTCAACTCGAGATCCAAAGGTAGAACACAGTGGCTGGATGGCAGTGACTAGAGAAACGCACAAAACCATACTCGCTTCATATTCTGTTTGGTGCAGTGGTAGAGTTTGTCAAGGGTTCTGTGATGGGCGGATGCATTCGTGTGTCGTTCAGCAAGACACTTTATTGCAATAGGAGCAATTAATAATTAAAGGTGTATAAACAATACCACATTTTCACATCAAGATACCATGCAAGATACTGTATTGTGACAATGTATCATGGCATTGTTAATATACCAATTGACACCTCTATTCGTAGTGTATCACCAAGATGTACATTGTAAGAGGCCTATTTTTTGCATTTCAAAAAAGTTGTAAAGTGTCCTCTCCAATGATAACTTGTGGTGGGACTCCGTACTATAAATCGCTTCTATTACCTAGTGGGAGTGATGTGTTTAATAGCTCCATGGAGTGATTGAGGGTAGAGTTTGCTGTTGCGTCGGTTGATATCAGGTGCAAAAAATGATGTCTACAAACCGTGCTTACTTAACACGCTTAAAGAATATTTTGAAGTGAAGTCGTGTCTATGTCTGCGCGCTTGTGTGGAGATTTCTATTGTTGATTTAGTTTACAGAGTGAGTGGTTCTTTAGTAATGCTCATAAAATAAGTTGTACACATTTCTACCATCATAACGTCATTCCTTTTTCGATTTCATGTCTTGAAGCTGATTTCCCTTCCTCCCCGTTTGGTTTTTCTCTCTTCGTTTACATTTTTCGTTTAGATTTTTATTTGATTCTTTTCCCTCCAGGCGGGGGCTTTGAGACTGAGGCTCACTACCCTCAGTGGAGGCGGGTTCACAAACCGCTGGATCGGTTCAGCAACCTCCAAGAAAGCCTGACTAAATTGATGGAGGGTAGGTCCCTGCCCCCCAAGGTTACCCCCTCCCCACCCAACCCCCCCCCCCCCCCCCCCCCCCACCTTCCAATCTTGGTCCAAGAATTGATTTGGAATTTGTTCTTCAAAGGCCGCCCTCAGTTCAACCTTGTGAAGACCCAGAACAGTCAGCAACTGACTTTTCAGGAACAAGCTGGTCCTGAGCTACGATCATTGGGAATGTATCAGTCACCGATTTCTTGCAACCTGAGTGTAACTGGACCGGGATTAAGACAATCAGCATTAGTCAGCACTAAAAAAATCAACAGTCACAAGTTTAGGAATATTTCAACTTCTTCGCCTCCACTGAACGTGTTCTTGACAGGGGGAATCAATCGCAGTCTATCTGTGTGAGATACGGTATCGTGCGCGTATCCTGATCGTTTTATTTCATTGTGAAGCCAATAATGCCGGAAAATATTGTTTGAATGTTATCAACGCTGCATGAAAATGTCAAATGATCACGTCTGTGTCAAGGGACTTGAGCGTGGTTGCAATTATTTTGTGTCAAGATGCCGCCTGCTCCACACTAATCTCACGATTGATCAGTTTTGTGACCCGGCCAAGTATGAATTTTGTGCTTGATGTTGACAGTTCCGTTGAAGCGCAAGTGCGGTCAATTAAGTCACGACACTAGAGGGTGCTATCAACGAGATAAATGAAATCCAGACTTGGGAACTTCAGCACTCGTATTAGAGAGATTCTGAGCATTCCTCATGCACATTATATTCAAGCTAACGTGCACGTGGGAGTAATAACATTGAAGTTCTCGGGTCTGAGTGTCAATGTTTTTAAGACTGGATTGATTGATCTTGTTGATAGACTACACTTACCAGTGACCAGCTGCATTAGGGAAACAAATCCAAATCCAGTCATGGACCAAGACTAACCTCCAATCCCTCTCAGTTGCCATAGTAACAAACACATCCCATCATGCATTGCTCTCTAAGAAGCATTCGACTCTCACATCATGCACTGCACACCAAGTCAAACATTTCATTCTCGTTTGTGCAGTCTAATCCTCCTAGTGTCCTATTTGCACTTTTCACCAGCATTGTGCACTCCATCTTCATCCCTTTTTTCTGAATTGACAAGTACTGTGGACTACAAGGTGGTAAAGGAACTAAGCCTAGGACGCACTGTTGTGTAGTCTGTGTACCCAGGCTATTGATTGTCCCTGGGTATTTGGACAAAACTGGTGCATTGGTGCATGGGCTTGATTTCCACAATACCAAGTTATAATATCTCAGCTTGCTTGGGAACGTAGTAAATGGATTTGACTACAACACTTCCATCATGCACTTTGGTACTTATTTTCATGTTGATCCCTCACTTTAATATACTTTGCAACATTAACACAGGCAGGTATGTCAGCAGTGTGAAAAGACCGCCTAATCATTGCATTGCATTCCCACAATGCACCATTGCATTCCCACAATGCACCAGGTTTCTGCTCCCATCATGCAGTGTGCCTACCTGGGATTTCTGTGTGCCACCTGTAATGAGGAAATCATGTATCGGCAAGAGTTGAACACATTATTAACATTTAGTACTTGTATTTAAATTGTATTACAGTGTATTTACTCCTCCAAAATCAATCAGTGCTGGGGGCGGTATGGGTGGCAACAGGCAGGGCGGTTGGGGGCAGTACAGTTAGGGCTAAGCATGCTAAGTGCCTAGGACATGGGCAGATGTAACTTCTGGAGGCAAACAGCCTTTAGTTGGATTGTTTTCAAAATGGCTGCCTTTCCTACATGTAGGAATTGCGAAGCAAACAATTTTTGGCTTTTTTGAAACCTAGGCTTCACCCCTGCTTTGCCTACAGGAGATTAGGCCCCTGACTTACAAGATGCTGGCTCAGTGTACAAATATAGTTTCAATCCGGCGTGAATGTGAGACATTGTGTGGATTTTCTTAACCTTTGAAATATGGCAAGTAAACAATCTAAAAAGCTAAATTTGACTGTCCAAAGTGGATTCTTCATAGATTGATTCCAATTTCAAAGATTTTTTTTTTGTATTTTGAATTGCACCTTCTTGTGTGCAGTCCCTAACTCAGCACTGGGACATTGTTTTCATTTAGCCAGTTTGTGTATGTAATATTGAGGTCCCAGCGGATGGGTTTCTCCTGGCAGTATTTAAGAATAAGTGTGTCAGCAGGCACACATTTTTAAAGCCACCCTCAACCATTGTTTTCTGCCTGATTGTAGCGTTTCAGGCAGACTAATTTCACAGAGTAATCGGTACCAGTCCCTTCACTTTGAGCAAGGATTTTCTCATTTATGTCAGTAAATTAGTTTCTTGGTAGTTTCCAATGTTTTGACATACCTTTTAGGAGGATGGATGTATGTGGAGAGTAACGGTCATATATACTTACCAGTCTTATTCCAATCTGACACAGCATGCAACAAGAACACCAACTCCATGGACAAGTGGCTGGGCCATCTAGGTGCTTCCAGTTGGTTGAGTAATGTCAAAGAAGTCTTGACTACTGCGTGCCTGGTGGCACAGTGTGTGGATAGAGAAAGTAAGTTCTGCCCAAAAGCTAGCTTTTTCCCTTTTTTTATTTGCAAAATGTAACCAGTGGTGCAACTAGGGGAGTGGTGGACATGTTGGTCCCCCCCCCCCCTCCCCACCACCACCATGTGAGTCAGTGTAGATGTCCACTGAAAATGTATGCATAAAGATTTCTGCCGATTGATTTTGCTAAAGGTTTCAATGATATTAAAAGAAGCAATATGAATGATCGACATGGACAAAAACTACTTAGCAAAGTTGATAATAAGCAGGACAAGTTCTTTTCAGAACTAAATATCTTCTAAGCAGTAGTTATTACCACATGGTGTTACCGCAAACCGAAACGATACCGATACTCCACCACGCAAAGCCTGAAATCTTATATGAAAAATTTTGGACACAATTTCAATGGTTCACTTTGAAAATTTAATTGTACTATATAGTTCTCCAGCAATTCCAAATGACTGATCAAAGAATGCATACAAAGGCCTTTCACATTCTAGTGCATTATTGTGAGAATACAAAACAAAGGCCCCCTCTCAAACAATGCACAAGATATCCAGTTAAGCTCAGAAGTCCTGTAGGTATACTTCAGAAAGTAGCTTACATGCAGACTGCAAATGATCAGTATTGAAGCCCATCCTTGGTGGTGTCATTTTCATTCACTTTTAACTTCCCGAGTCATGCCTGTGTCTTTCTTCTTCATTGATTCAGGTTCATCTGTTCTGGTGCATGGATCGGAGGGTCTAGATGCCACACTACAGATCACATCCCTAGCTCAGATCATACTCAATCCAGACTGTAGAACACTCAGAGGGTAAGGTCTGTGACATTCAGGAACATTGTGTCCAAGTATCAATCATGTGATGTAGATTCATCTGATGTACGGATCGGAGGGTCTAGACGCCACACTACAGATCACATCCCTAGCTCAGATCATACTCAATCCAGACTGTAGAACACTCAGAGGGTAAGGTCTATGACAGGAACATTGTGTCCAAGTATCAATCATGTGATGTAGATTCATCTGATGTATGGATCAGAGGGTCTAGATGCCACACTACAGATCACATCCCTAGCTCAGATCATACTCAATCCAGACTGTAGAACACTCAGAGGGTAAGGTCTATGACATTCAGGAACATTGTGTCCAAGTATCAATCATGTGATGTAGATTCATCTGATGTACGGATCGGAGGGTCTAGATGCCACACTACAGATCACATCCCTAGCACAGATCATACTCAATCCAGACTGTAGAACACTCAGAGGGTAAGGTCTATGACATTCAGGAACATTGTGTCCAAGTATCAATCATCTGATGTAGATTCATCTGATGTATGGATCAGAGGGTCTAGATGCTGCACTACAGGTCAGATTTTCCACAGCCAGAAATTTCTCGGCACACGTACTACCCGTGAGTGATTTGTCCACCCTAGTACAAATCCTGCCAATGCCTGGCCTGTCTAGCATTTATCTGATATCTCTGCACATGTTTGAAGCTTTCGTCTTGCCTAAGAATCTGTCTTCTTTCCCGTCTCTGATAGGTTTGAAGCTCTGATAGAGCGTGAGTGGGTTCAGTCAGGTCACCCTTTTGCCAGTCGATGTGCCAAGTCCTGTTACGCCGGTAGCAAACTCAAATGCACCGGTCCGGTCTTCCTACTGTTCCTGGACTGCGTGTGGCAGGTAATGGGCTGGGGATGGGGTACCAGACTTCATCCTTTTGATGTACGGTTTATGAAATCTTGGCTTTGTCTGCAGCTACTGCTCTAGGCTCCGGAATTCCAACTTTTTCAAATTTATTTCCAAATTCTGATTTTGCTGATGATCTTTGCCCCGCAAAGTTTGATTTTAAAAATTACATTTCAACAAATTTGATGAAAACAGCACCACGATATCTGTATTATGAGCGCAATTTTATGTTGCGTTATTTTCAGAGGTTTGAGATTTAGTTGTACAAAATGTAATGCTTTAAAAATCACGATGATGATCTTTGGAATGGTGAAGAGGACAAGATTTCATTGGCGGTTGTTGGAAGAAAAAGACAGTAATGCTGATTTTATTCCTCGTACTTAAGTGGAGCTGTTTAAGTGAATACTGCACTTGTCTTGGGCCATGCTTGGACTTTTTGCTCGATTTTCTCAAGTAAGAATAAAGTGAGCTTCTTTGTTATCGAGTAAGCTACTCTAGCCTTAATGCAAACTTTTTACCTAAGGAAACACTGGACATTTTTTTACACAGTAAAATTTCGTTTGGATCTAAAATAAAACTGGAGGCAGTGTCCTGAAATTGGGCACAAAGTTTATTGTACATATACATGCATACGTGTGTGTAACTGCAGCGCAGCCCAAATTTCAGACACAGATTTGTGTTTGGCCTATTTTCCGATTTTGTTCCCCAGTTTCATCTCTGATTATTGCATACAGCTTACTGTCGTGTTTGTCTTTGTCTGATCTTCAGGTCATTCAGCAGTTCCAATGTTCCTTTGAGTTCAATGAGCAGTTTCTCATCCTCCTGTTTGAGAATGCCTACGCCTCACAGTTTGGCACCTTCCTGTGCAATAATGAGCACGAGAGACAAATACTGAAACTGTCTGAAAAGACACAATCACTGTGGTGAGATGCTTAGGGCTTTGCCAACTCAGTGTGTCTTTTTTTCTTATTAATAAAATCAAATCAGATTCTGTCAACGAGTCATTTTTCTTTTTTTAATCACACATGTATCTCCAACTTACTCTGGCAAAAAAGTTGGAAAATAATATTAATTCATTAAATTATATCAATATATATTCATTAATGAACTTTCTGTGTATCACACAAGGCACAATTGCTGTTTTAATTGTTTTCAATGAGAAATTTTTGCAGTTTTCTCAGACAGTAAAGATATAACAAATAACCAGGACCTACTCCTGAAAAGAATTCTCACTGTTTGCCCTCAATGCTGTACTACCGTACTTATGTCTTCTTAGTTTAGTCTTCTTATGTTTTTGGAGGGCATTCATATACATGGGAGCCTAGCATGGCTACCATAGATTTGGTTTTATTGGAATTCCTTACAACTACTTGCACCTTTTCATCCAACAGGACATACGTTAACAGGCCTCAGATACTAGAGGGTTACATCAACCCACTGTATCAACCCAACTCCTCTGTCATATGGCCGTCAGTAGCACCACAGAGCTTGGTAAGATTCTTGTATAAAATCAAGCTGAATCAGCCTATACAAAAAACTCACAGAACCCCCCCCCCCCCCCCAAGTATAAATTGACAATTTAATTCTGTAGCAGGGCTGTGCATCAGAACTGGGTACCCAAGTACCCGACCACTGATGTCAGGAACCGGTTCCAGATTTAGGAATCGGGTACCCGTAACCAACTTTAAAAATTACTTAATAACTTCTCGGACAATGAAACAGAAAGGTTTGAATGTCATTTGTGGGGAAGTTTCCAAGTGAAAACCAGGCTACATGGAAAAACAAAACAGATTTGACGTTTATGACGCTCGCGAAAGTTGGCTCCCTATTAAAAGCTTACAGTACTGTACACACATGAATCGCTGCACTGACACACTGATGTAGTAGTATTATCGCCTGACCTTTATGAACAATCTGAACAGAAACTTCTGAGATTTGAGTTTTGGGGTTGGTTTCTATAACAGGTCCTGGAGTACCCATTTTGTTTTCAATCGGGTACCCAGTTCCCGTACTACCTGTAAATGCACATCCCTATTCAGTAAGCAACAAGTGAATAACGCAACGCTCCTTGATTTACAGTAACAGTGAAGCCACATTGGCTGTGCAAATCTTACTTGACTTGCAGTGAATTATGGATCTCCAAGTCTAATCAATATCTTTCATTTCTCTACCTTACATGTTGTGGTGTAGATGTTATGGTCAACCTTGTTCTTACGCTGGGACATGGACAACACCAGCAATGACTCAACCGACAAAGAAATCCGCAAAATCCAACAGAACGACAAGCAGCTCAAGACAAGGGCCATTCAGCTCAGAAAGTATGTCTCCTGGAAATATTGCTCACCTGCTTTCTGATTAGAGGTGTAATCAATTCATTGCAAGCCCCTTGCTTTCCCTTCGTGGTTCGTTTGATGACATTTTTTAGTGGTTAAATATTACCTTGTGTTCACATTCCACAGACAACTTTCCGAGTTGCAGAGAGAAGCCCTGGAAAAAGGACTGATCAGCGAATAGCAGCAGGGTTGCATCTTAACAAGACACTCAACCTGATCAGGAAACAGCAGTAGGTTAACTTCTATCTGCCAAGTCCTGTGCATTGTTCAGCTTCAGCACCAAATTTACAGAATCAATGACTGGCAAAAAACAGCTGGATCGCATAAACATTGATCAGGAAACAGCCACCTGATACCTATTGGAATCCAGCTTGAGCAGCAAACGGCAGTTGGGAAACATTTAAGCCCATTGTCAAGTTTGCAGGCGAAACTCTGATAATGCTGAACGTGATATATGTAGTTTACTCTCACAGTTCTACTTTATTCAATCAGCTGGTATTGAGGTTCAATCAAGAAATTGGAGAACCTTAACATGTCTACGTCATGAAACAGCCGCAGGGTTGCAACTGCCATCAGAGAGGCGATTGCAGGATGATTTTTCAAATCATGCTGATCATATTTGGAGACATCCATCAGCTGATCCTACCTGTCATCGCAATCATCATTTATTCAATGATTGTGTGAACCATCAAATGCCCTAAAGAAAAGCCTTTGACGAGACTTCGGTTTTTTTTTTTTCAACTTTACAGTAGCTTAAAAGGGAACAGTCAGCATTTCCACTTAATTAAGATATTTATTAAGATGTCAAACTGAGATCACAATGCTGTCACTGCTGTATATGCAATATTAAGAGAAACAAATATGCCCTTAATATTGTTTCATGCAGTCCAGTCAAATGACAGAAAACTCAGTAAAGGGGTCTAGTACGACGTGATCATGTTAATGTTTCACGATATATAGTGCCTTCAATTAGGCATTATAAATATTGATGTCATCAGTCATAATAATTAGAGATTGCATTTGTTCGCAGTGTAATGATCGAGATTCAGAAATTTTTTTAGTTTTGATGCAAATTACAAAATCTGGGGGGAAAAAAACAGAGTTAAAAATGCTGTTTTTAAATTTAAGAAATGCCTTTTTCAAGAAAAGTTTATGACGCAAGTCGTTCTAGATTGCCTCCTCTTGTCTTGTGTTTGAATGCTTTCTACTTAAGGCAATGGATGCGGTATTCAAAAAGTTTATATCATCATTAATCAACCTCCATGATTCTATAAATAGAACTCTGCTGATTTTTGTAAACATTTTTTTGAGGCAGTTTCAAATTTATGTGGTGGAATGGTCTGGAAACTGGCATATATGTCTGTAAATCAATTTATTTGAATATTTTGCCTGTATCATGCCAAATTTGCCATTTTGCTTGAAAACAAATTAAGTTTAAATGAGACTACAATTATGTAAGTGTACATATGATGCATATTTATATATTGAGAAGGGGACTTTAATAAATTTGTATAAATTGTGCAGTACAAGCAAAGCGAGCTGATTCGCACATTCAAACTTGTAGAACAAATGCACAGTACAATGGAAATACAAATGTAGGAATGTCTGAAAAACTTTAAACTGTAAAGTTGCCTTTTGGAACACATTGCATTCCAAGCTGAATGTTCTGCATATTATGTGAAGCGTTCTGGCAAAATGAGACAGGAAGTGAGCTGAGGTCAAAATTAGGGGTTGTGGCTATAAGGAATGTACATTTGTACATCTTACAATAATGTTCGTTGGACTTTAATTTCAAGGTTTTTATACTACATGTATTTCTGTGAAACACACGTAGTAGACATGGTAGACAATTAAAAAATTACACATAACAATAAATCTTACAATTAAAAACACTAATGCCTGACTGCTACACAATTGACCTATCGCCGTTTGCGAGTTAGCCACGCCCCTTAGACAACCCTTTGGAATTTTGTACGTAAACATTTGTTTGTCTCAGATTTTGCATGCTCTGCGTCCATTTGCATATCGGTAATGGAACAAATCTTTTACAAGCTGCTATCGCGATTCTACCATGATAGGTTATTATCTGCAACATATATTTGATATGAAAATATCAAATCTTGATATATTGTTTTTTTGCTTTACAATCTTAGTGCATCAAATTACGGCATTGTGAAAACAAAAATTCTATCTTATAAATAATCTTAGTGCAATTCCTCTATGGTGTACCGCTCGTACCATTCCTCCATGCTTCTAAAACGCTTACTGAAAACGCATGCACAATTTAATGTAAATGAAGGAACAAAATTAATGAATAAATTAAATTTTTGTTTTTCTATTTGTAGGCTTCTGCTTGAATTATATTGAGGTTATTCTGTGTTTGAATGAAACACCTAGCTGGCATAATGGACCTATGTTGATATGGAGTGGCATATAGGCAGGATGGGTAGTTACATATATGCTGCCCCCACAGTTGGTATCCATCGCAAGCTGCTCTCGGGCCAAGCTAGGATCGTGTAATTGGTGATAGTATATTGCATATTTGAAGGTTTGATGTAGATTATTACAGCCAAGGGTCTGGGTTGTGTAGCCCCTCGGAGGGAAACCTATTTTTGTATTCTGAATCAATTCTGCAATTGCAAGTGAATGGTTCATGTTGTTTACTTTGTGATTTTATTTCCAACTTGTAAGAAAAATCACATTTTATTTATCAAGTTGTAAGAAAAATCACATTGCACCCCATTTTGGGGAAAGAGCAAGGTTAACCCCTTACAAATTTTAAATTTTTTAGAAAAACCGAATTTTGATAAAAAGAGCAAGGTTAACCCCTTACTAATGTTGCTTTTGTACAAAAAAACCCACAAATTTTGTCCAATTTTGATGAAAAGAGCAAGGTTTATCCCTTGTAAATTCTTGTAAATTCTTGGTAAATCAAATTTTACCAAGATGTGCTAAAAAAAGCAAATTTTCTGGATTTCTCAAAAATTAACATTTGTAAGGGGTAAGCCTTGCTCTTTTTATCAAAATTGGGAAAATTAGGTTTTTCTCAAAAATTAACATTTGTAAGGAGTTAGCCTTGCTCTTTTTATCAAAATTTGGCAAAATTTGGTTTTTCTCAAAATTTAACATTGGTAAGGGGTTAGCCTTGCTCTTTTTATCAAAATTGGGCAAAATTTTGGGGGTTTTTTCAAAAATTTCCGTTTGTAAGGGGTTAGCCTTGCTCTTTTATCAAAATTGGACAAAATTTGGTTTTTTTTTCAAAAATTACCGTTTGTAAGGGGTTAGCCTTGCTCTTTTTATCAAAATTGGGCAAAATTTGATTTTGTCGAAAGTTAACATTTGTAAGGGGTTAGCCTTGCTCTTTTATCAAAATTGGGCAAAATTTGGTTTTTCTCAAAAAATACCGTGCGTAAGGGGTTAGCCTTGCTCTTTTCATCGAAATTGGGCAAAATTAGGTTTTTCTCAAAAATAAACGTTCGTAAGGGGTAAGCCTTGCTCTTTTTATCAAAATTGGGCAAAAATAGGTTTTTGTCAAAAATTTACGTTTGTAAGGGGTTAGCCTTGCTCTTTTTATCAAAATCTGGCAAAATTTGGTTTTTCTCAAAAATTAATGTTGGTAAGGGGTTAGCCTTGCTCTCTTCATCGAAATTGGGCAAAATTAACTCTTTTTATCAAAATTGGGCAATATTTGGTTTTTGTAAAAAATTTATGTGTGTAAGGGGTTAGCCTTGCTCTCTTTATAAAAAATGGGCAAAATTTGGTTTTTGTCAAAAATTAACGTTTGTAAGGGGTTAGCCTTGCTCTTTTTATCAAAAAGGGGCAATATTTGTTTTTTCTCAAAAATTAACGTTGGTAAGGGTTAAGCCTTGCTCTTTTTATCAAAATTGGGCAAAATTTGGTTTTTGTCAAAAATTTACGTGTGTAAGGGGTTAGCCTTGCTCTTTTTATCAAAATTGGGCAAAATTTGGTTTTTGTCAAAAATTTACGTGTGTAAGGGGTTAGCCTTGCTCTTTTTATCAAAATTGGGCAAAATTAGGTTTTTGTCAAAATTAACGTTTGTAAGGGGTTAGCCTTGCTCTTTTTATCAAAAATGGGCAAAATTTGGTTTTTCTCAAAAATTAACGTTTGTAAGGGGTTAGCCTTGCTCTTTTAATCAAAATTGGGCAAAATTAGGTTTTTGTCAAAAATTTCCGTTGGTAAGGGGTTAGCCTTGCTCTTTTTATCAAAAATGGGCAATATTTGTTTTTTCTCAAAAATTAACGTTGGTAAGGGTTAAGCCTTGCTCTTTTTATCAAAATTGGGCAAAATTTGGTTTTTGTCAAAAATTTACGTGTGTAAGGGGTTAGCCTTGCTCTTTTTATCAAAATTGGGCAAAATTTGGTTTTTGTCAAAAATTTACGTGTGTAAGGGGTTAGCCTTGCTCTTTTTATCAAAATTGGGCAAAATTAGGTTTTTGTCAAAATTAACGTTTGTAAGGGGTTAGCCTTGCTCTTTTTATCAAAAATGGGCAAAATTTGGTTTTTCTCAAAAATTAACGTTTGTAAGGGGTTAGCCTTGCTCTTTTAATCAAAATTGGGCAAAATTAGGTTTTTGTCAAAAATTTCCGATGGTAAGGGGTTAGCCTTGCTCTTTTTATCAAAAATGGGCAAAATTAGGTTTTTGTCAAAATTAACGTTTGTAAGGGGTTAGCCTTGCTCTTTTTATCAAAAATGGGCAAAATTTGGTTTTTCTCAAAAGTTAACGTTTGTAAGGGGTTAGCCTTGCTCTTTTCATCGAAATTGGGCAAAATTAGCTCTTTTCATCAAAATTAGGCAAAATTAGGTTTTTGTCAAAAATTAACGTTGGTAAGGGGCTAGCCTTGCTCTTTTCATCGAAACTGGGCAAAATTAGCTCTTTTCATCAAAATTGGGCAAAATTAGGTTTTTGTCAAAAATTAATGTTGGTAAGGGGTTAGCCTTGCTCTTTTTATCAAAAATGGGCAAAATTTGGTTTTTGTCAAAATTAACGTTTGTAAGGGGTTAGCCTTGCTCTTTTTATCAAAAATGGGCAAAATTTGGTTTTTCTCAAAAATTAACGTTTGTAAGGGGTTAGCCTTGCTCTTTTCCTTGAAACTGGGCAAAATTAGGTTTTTCTCAAAAATTAACGTTTGTAAGGGGTTAGCCTTGCTCTTTTTATCAAAAATGGGCAAAATTAGGTTTTTGTCAAAATTAACGTTTGTAAGGGGTTAGCCTTGCTCTTTTTATCAAAAATGGGCAAAATTTGGTTTTTCTCAAAAATTAACGTTTGTAAGGGGTTAGCCTTGCTCTTTTCATCGAAATCGGGCAAAATTAGCTCTTTTCATCAAAATTGGGCAAAATTAGGTTTTTGTCAAAATTAACGTTTGTAAGGGGTTAGCCTTGCTCTTTTTATCAAAAATGGGCAAAATTTGGTTTTTCTCAAAAATTAACGTTTGTTAGGGGTTAGTCTTGCTCTTTTCATCGAAATCGGGCAAAATTAGCTCTTTTCATCAAAATTGGGCAAAATTAGGTTTTTGTCAAAAATTAACGTTTGTAAGGGGTTAGCCTTGCTCTTTTAATCAAAATTGGGCAAAATTAGGTTTTTGTCAAAAATTTCCGTTGGTAAGGGGTTAGCCTTGCTCTTTTTATCAAAAATGGGCAAAATTAGGTTTTTGTCAAAATTAACATTTGTAAGGGGTTAACCTTGCTCTTTTTATCAAAAATGGGCAAAATTTGGTTTTTCTCAAAAATTAACGTTTGTAAGGGGTTAGCCTTGCTCTTTTCATCGAAATTGGGCAAAATTAGCTCTTTTCATCAAAATTGGGCAAAATTAGGTTTTTGTCAAAAATTAACGTTGGTAAGGGGCTAGCCTTGCTCTTTTCATCGAAACTGGGCAAAATTAGCTCTTTTCATCAAAATTGGGCAAAATTAGGTTTTTGTCAAAAATTAACGTTTGTAAGGGGTTAGCCTTGCTCTTTTCATCGAAATTGGGCAAAATTAGCTCTTTTCATCAAAATTGGGCAAAATTAGGTTTTTGTCAAAAATTAACGTTGGTAAGGGGCTAGCCTTGCTCTTTTCATCGAAACTGGGCAAAATTAGCTCTTTTCATCAAAATTGGGCAAAATTAGGTTTTTGTCAAAAATTAACGTTTGTAAGGGGTTAGCCTTGCTCTTTTCATCGAAACTGGGCAAAATTTGTTTTTTTTTTCGAAAATTAACGTTGGTAAGGGGTTAGCCTTGCTCTTTTCATCGAAACTGGGCAAAATTAGCTCTTTTCATCAAAATTGGGCAAAATTAGGTTTCTGTCAAAAATTAACGTTGGTAAGGGGTTAGCCTTGCTCTTTTTATCAAAAATGGGCAAAATTTGGTTTTTGTCAAAATTAACGTTTGTAAGGGGTTAGCCTTGCTCTTTTTATCAAAAATGGGCAAAATTTGGTTTCTCTCAAAAATTAACGTTTGTAAGGGGTTAGCCTTGCTCTTTTCATCAACATTTTGCCAATTTTGATAAAAAGAGCAAGGTAAATCCCTTACAAGTGTTAATTTTTGACCAAAATCTAACTTGCCCAATTTTAATAAAAAGAGCAAGGTTAACCCCTTACAAATGTTAATTTTTGACAAAAATTGAATGTTGCCCAATTTTGATAAAAAGAGCAAAGTTAACCCCTTACAAATGTTAATTTTTGACAAAAATCAAATTTTGCCCAATTTTGATAAAAAGAGCAAGTTTAACCCCTTACCAAATGTGATTTTACGACAACTTCAAGTATTTCTCTCTATGCCGTTGGTTAGTCACTCAGTTAGTAACTCAGTCAGTCACAGGACAACAGGCTGGCTTCTCAAGTCTGGCAAAAAAGAAAACGTTCTAAAACAATATATTTAACTGCGCACAATATACATTTTTTATTCACAACAAAGGCAAGCATGAAATTAAAATGGCTACCTGTATACATACCGGGGTACCTACGTGTACTTCACTGTGTAAAGGTTGCAACTACAAATGTGAAGGGGCATTAATGATAAGTGTGATAAACAATGATCACAAATTTCTGTTTCACTATACACTAGTAGTTTACCAAGCTTTAATACGAAGGGCTTCCAGTAATTAATTTTTGGCGACTGACTACGGTTAAATGATGTCCACAATGCTCAGAGTACTGTTGTGTACATGTGCCGGGAATAACTTCACAAAAAGAGAGATGGAAACCGGATGATATTCCCCAGACCTTTTAATTATTATTAAAAATTGCCATGTCCAATCATGATGTCCTAGAAGAGCCATTTATAATCTCCATGGTGGCCCCGAGTCCAACACAGAGATTTCAGGAACCCCTTTCACGCTAGCAAGAATCCAACATGGTTTCTTCATGGGTCTGGAGCTCTACACGAGTGAAATGCAACCCTGGTCAGGACCAGGGTTGAGAGGTAGGAAATCTAAAGTCTACGTAGGACAAGTTTTTATTTCAAGATGGGTATAGACAAGGCAACTGTGTGAAAAGACCCTGTCAACAACCAACAAGACCACACATAGCAGCAACGTTTGTATACAGGTGAGGCCATTACAAGTCATCCAGACTCGAGTCATGTCACAAGCTGTGTGAATGAACTGTGAAGCAGCCATTCCTTTGTTCTGTTCAGCCCCTGCTACACATGACAGGATTTATGAATGGACTTGTGATTTACTTGTGATGAACTCGACTACCTAGCAGTTGTGGGAAAGAGGCATACAGACATGAGGGGCATCAGTTGCTCTTCAATTTAAGTTACTTAAAAGCTTGAAAAAAATTGACAAACTGTGCATATGTACACGCTCCTTTGATGAATAAGATCACCTAGCATCATACTGTGTCCTTTCCAAGTTAGAAAAAGTGAAAGGGTAAAAAAAAGGGGGGAAAAAAGAGGCTTACTTTTTACCTAGTTTCACTAAATTGTGGTTGCCTAAAACAAAATCTACCACTGAAAATAAATTTACAATAAACTTGAATTAATTCAGCTAACATTATTAGAAAAAAAATAAGAACTAAACTCATTTTACCACTCCTACCAATGGAGGAACCCTGACATTTCCTCAACGCACAAAGTTTGCCTTGAAGACTGGTGCCTTGCCATATCAGCAGCCTACACTGGTTCCACTTCCAATGTCACATATGATCTTCCAATGCACAAACCAGCTTCACTGGTACACACCATCAAGAGTGACCATCAAGTACCAGATCAATGTCTTGCAATGAGATAGCAAGTGTAATCAGAGCTACCTATTTCAAGGCGGTTTGGATCTTTCTAAAGGTGTTTGTATTCAAAGCGTCATCAAAATGTACCTCTGGTTCATTTCCAATTCACAAAATTTGCGACGCAGAATATGTCAAGCGTAGAACATCTGCAAAGGGTCTGGCAACCTGTGTTCAGTCACAGCTCAAGATGCAGTGTTGGTCGACTCTGGTGCGTGGGAAACCTCTTTGTTTTTCTGTGACATGAATGACAATATCAACACAAAATGTACCATTACATTAACTGTCAGTGTTGTAATCGAGTAAATAGAAAGGCTGTGCATCAGAACCAAGTACCCATGTACCCGACCGCTGATGTCAGGAACCGGTTCCAGATTATGGGATCGGGTATCCGTAACCGAGTTTACAAATTACTTAGTAACTTCTCAATGAAAAAGGAAGTTTTGAATGTCATTTGTGGGTAATTTTCGAAATGAAAACCAGGCTACACGTACGTGCAATAAAGCTCACTGTACACAAATGAACTACTACACTGATGTGGTAGTATTACATGTGTACCATGCGGACAGTTATAAACAATCTGAACAGAAACTTCTGAGATTTCTTCTGAGTTTTGGGGTTTGGCATCTTTAACGGGTACCCAGGTACCCGGTTCCTCTACATGTACCCATAAATGCACACCCCTAGTAAACAGGTATATAGGAAATTTCACAAGATACAGGGAACGGAACAATGGAATGCCTTGTCACATTGTGGCTGAACAGCTTGTAAAGTGAACAAAACAAATTAATACAAAATGTACAGCGAAATGAACAGGCAGTGTTTAGTCGAGTCTACCACATGTCCATCACAAGTCTTGCAAGTTGTAGTCCAATTCACTAGTGCGGCCACAAGATACATACACTAGGCAATGAATGATGGAGTATCTAATCACAGTTCATTTGAATAGTTTGTGGCTTGAATTGGGACTGGACGACTAGTGATGGACTTGTGAAGACCTGTGCTGGACTCAACTACAACACTTGGTATATGTACCTACAATCCCGGCCAAAATGGTTGGGACACGTCCACAAAATGAGCATACCCTCCCCCGGTCCCCCGCTCCCCCAGTCAATGTTGTCATCTCGCGCTTGAGCACAGATTGCGCAGTGAGAGACAAGATTGGCAGGGGGCCGGGGGCCCAGCAAGGTTTGGCCGGGATTGTATAAGTTGAAAAAAAAATTGAAAATGGATGATTGTTTCTGACCTGGCCTGACTCGGTCCTGCTGGGACTCTTCTTCACTTTCTTTGCTTTCTTCACCGTCTTGGATTTCTGTTTCACAGAAGACTGAAAATGAGCAGGCAAAAATAAAATGTAGCTATGAATTAGTACTTAAAGCATGCAAGCTGAAAATAATTTACAGGCTAACAATTGACATTTACTCTTTTTATAAGTTTCTTTGTACTATGGGAATAAACATGTGCTTTTAAGTACATTTAAAACTTGCTAGGGACCTGGATGCAAATAATGGCCCTAGCCAAGCACATCTTTATTCCCATTCATAAATAATTTTCGGTCAAAAATCAAAACAAATCAAGAATTCACAATTTTCCAACGATTTTGTGCAACACTTTTACGATTTTACGTTTGGGGTGCGATCAACCAATTAAAACCCTACCTTCTTCTCTTTTCCCTTGTCATTCTTGGCCTTCTTCTTTTCCTTCTTGCCTTCCCCTTCCTGAGTCTCCTCCTTCTCCTTGTCAAACATGTCATGGGTCCACGCTAGACTCCTACTACCTCCGCTACCGCCAAATAAGCCCCGCCCCCTGGGAGTGTATCTTCCCCTCACACCGTGGTTGTAGCCTCGGTTGTAGCTGCGGTTGTTGCCGCGGTTGTTGCTGCGGTCGTAGCCTGGGATGAAGTTCTTGCCTAGGTAGCCTCGTCCTCGTCCCCGTCCGCCGCGGTATGTACCAGTACCGCGCATTGCACCACGGTACTTGCTGTTACGTTCAACCGAGTCGCGGTCAGATGACCTGGAACGGTCTTCTCGGCGGTCGTGCTGCTAAAAAAAGAAAATGATTGAAAAACAATAAAATAAGTAACTCCTTCAAAGGAGGCAACAGTTTCAAAAATTCAAGATCAATTTACTCTCTTCCGTCAAAAGACAAAAGTCATCCCAAGCACACCATGTCCATACATGTACACACTCCATAGGAACATTACATACAAAGAGTTCTAGCAAGTTATCACAGAGTTTTCAACTCACATGGTAAAATGCCTGCTTCCTACTCCAGTTGAGTGACTTCCCACCTTCATTGCCGTCAGAGAAAGAGCTGTCTTCAGATCCTTTGGAGACGTTACCAAGCCGCTCTCGAACAGGTCTGCGGTCCCGGGAACGTTGATCCTCAGATCGGGATCGAGAACGCCCATGACGGTATGAAGATGTCTTGTACTGATGTGATGGCGAGCGGGAACGGGAGCGGGAGCGTGAGCGCTGCCTGGACATGGGACTCCTCCTGCGAGACCTGGATCGGGAACGGGATCGAGACAAGCTTCTCATTTGCCCCTGCTGCTGCTGTTGTTCCATCTGCTTCCGGCGTGAGTCTAGATCATACCTCAGGTCATGTGGGCCTTTAATATCGGGCATGTCATCTGGCGGGTACTGGTAGGAGATGGGACTCTGAGGCATATCCTGCATGACAGGTGGTGTGTTCTGGACAAACATGGCCTGCCGGTTAAAGTCTGGCTGGGGCTGGACTTCCTTGGGTGGTCCATATTGATCCAGAGGCTGAACCTGGTATGTCGAAGGCTGAGCTGGGTACTGGTTGTCAAGACCCATCTGGATGACTCTGGGGGCAAACTGGAAGCTGGGGCCCTGGTAGGTTTCCCGCCTAGGCTCAAAGCCCAAGATCACAGGCTCTCGCTTTTCGATGAAGCTTTGTGCCTGAGGTGGGAGGGCACCGCTCGGGAGAGTGCCTGTGAAGTGTACATCTTGCCGATACACCACTGGCTCTTTCTTCTGGGGTTCCGGGCCTCCGTCAGGAGGCAGCTGCTCAGAAGCAAAGCGGGCCTTCAGTTCTGGCCGATCAAATATTTCCGTCAGGCCCTCGTCCTTACGGCGGGGGATCTTCACTGAGTAGGGGTCAAATATTGGCCTGATGATAGGAGCAGGGGCCACCTTGGCATTTTGGGGCTCAGTAGGCATGGCTGGTTTGTTGCCCTGGCCTGAGGCATCCAGCTTGCTGTACTTCTCCTGGACTTGATAGTATTCTGCCTTAGGTTTGGAGATCTTGCGGTCGTAGGGCGATTCGCTATGTTGGGCAGACTTGGGAGAGAAGCGAAGATCGTCTGGAGACACAGCTTCATATTTCATCTCCTTCGAGTAGGACCTCTCCGAAGGCTGGCTGTGGGACAATTTGGACTGGCTGCCTCCTCGCTGACTATTGCCCATGTCATACACCACATCGCGGGAGGCCTGAGGTAACTGGTCTTGTGCCTGGACTCCTTTTCCATACTCCTCTCTGTAAACATTATGGCCAGGAGGAAGTTGAGGTCCTTCAAAGTCTCTGACTTGCTTGTCTTGGTGCAACAGGCCTGTACCCTCTTGGTAGCCTGGGCGGGAGTCAGCCTGCTCATCTCGTCCGTAATTAGCACTTTCATTTTGTTGGCGGATGGCCTCTCGTCCACCTCGCTGAGGTGATCTCTTGGGCGACCTGTATCTTTTATTTCGATGAGATGGAGACCGAGACCTGGACTTGGCCTTGCTCGTTGATCCACCGTAGTGACGTTTCTCAGGGGTGTAAGAGCGTGAGCGTCTGCCTCCTCGTTGCTTTGAGGAGGAACTTTTATAGCTTGACCCACGGTCCTTCCTTGGTGGGGATCGGGAATATGAGCGCCCCCTAGTGGTCTTCTTGCCATGAGGGTGGTACTTGGGGTTACCTCTCAGAGGTGACCTGGATCTGGACCTGGATTGTGAACTGACGCTGCTGGAATAAGATCTGTATGAAGAGACAAATCTGTTAGTATTCCTGTCCTCAGTAAAATGAAAATATGTAGTGTCATAACTTAACAGAATCTAAACTTCTCCACTTGTATCTGGCTCTGAGAAGAATGTTAACCAACCAGCTTCACTCTTTGTTAGAGAATGTACATGGTATATTTGGTCGTATGGATTACATGTAAATACACATCATGTGCTCCCTGATAACAAAATGCACTGTGTCTTACATGTAGGACTTGTAGTGCGTGTACAGTCAAAGGAGTTTGAGTGTACCTTCTTGAATCGTTGGCACAATTTCATGGCTCTGCCAACCACAAAATACGGCAATCACTGTCCATCAATGGACAATTAAACGACACACATTTTTCCACTCACAGTTACGGACCATCACAATTTTACAACTATTTCACCATGATAGTTAAAAGGCTTGAATTTGGTAAATTTGATCTGTAATTAAAGCATGTTCACTAGCCTTTTTCAGCTACACTGTATTGGTAAATTTGGGTAAAAACCAACCGAATCCAAAGAATGTCCCCATATTATGTCCACCCATTGGCAGATCCATTATGGGGGGGGGGGGGGGGGGGGCAAGGCAACAGGGCCAACTAACCAACCAACCCCCCCCCCCCCCACAATTTTCTTTTTTTTTGTTTTTTTTATCGGAGGGATGAAAGACACCTTTTTCCACAATGGGGAAATAGCACATACTTAATCCCCTATCCCTTTTGGAGAAAAAAACTGAGCCCTCTTGCCCCCCCCCCCAAAAAATTGTTTCTTGATCCGCCCTTGTGTCCACCTAATCTCAAACAGCAAATTGTAAGCGTTCAAACCAAATTCAGAATATCTGGCATGTCATGTGGTACGGTACAATGTAGTTAAGTCTACTTGAGCACAAAACTAACCAATGAATGGGTATGAAAAATTTAAAAAAATAAAACTGGCAGGTAAAATGCTAAGGGGTGGATAGAAAGGGAATAAAGAAACAAGAAAAGAAAGGAAACTAAATGTACGAAGGCTTAAGATAGGACAAGAAAGAGTGCAGAGTCATGGAGTGCTATCACATCATGCAAACACAAGTTTCCATTAGGCTAATACCGTACCTTTTCAGATGCACAATGATTGCTCAACTGCAACCTGTGCTTCCATAAGTCAGTCCACTTACGTACTTGTGGTACTTTTTTTTTCTTTCACACATTTTAAACTCTTTTTTCCTCAGCAAGTGACCACATTCCAGCACACATTTTCCAACATCAGTAGAACGCAATGGGACACTGTATTCTCCTTCAGGGCATTATGGCCCATTTACTGGTCACTTTATTTCCACTGCTTGTAAGTGTACCGGTATCTCCCCTAGCTGGGTGCCATTTCCCCTTCTGGATGCCAAGTTCCCCTTGGTGGGAACCATGTTCCCTTTATGGGTGTCCTGTTCCCTTTGGTGGGTGCAACATTCCTCTTGGCTTGGTACCATGTTTCTTTGGCTCCGTGCTACCTTTACATGTACATGTTTGTTTTCCTGGCTTGATTCCATGTTCCACTCACTGGGTGCCATGTCCCTCTTGCTGGGTGTCATGTTCCCCTTGGTGGGAACCATGTTCCCTTGATGGGTGTCCTGTTCCCCTTTGGTGGGTGCAACATTCCTCTTGGCTTGGGACCATGTTTCCTTGGCTCCGTGCTACCGGTACATATACATGTATGTTTTCTTGGCTTGATTCCATGTTCCGCTCACTGGGTGCCATGTCCCTCTTGCTGGGTGTCATTTACCCTTCTGGGTGTAATGTTCCCTTGGTGGAACGCTGGAAGCGATGTTCCCAGATGGGTGCCACATTCCCCTTGCTACCGGTAGGTGTCATGTACCTCTTGCTACATGTAGGTGCCATGTACCTCTTGCTGGTTGCCTTGGTCCCGTTGCTGGGTGCCACGTGTCCTGTAGCTTGCTGGGTGACATGTTCCTTTTGCTGGGTGCAAGAGTTGCCTTGCTGGGTGCCCATGCTGAGCGCATGTATACATGTATGTTCATACATGTACATGTATGTATTGCTTGGTGCCATGATCCCGTTGCTTTCCGAGTCTGCAACCTTCTGTTAAGCTGTCCTCTCCACAAGTTTTTTTTTCCTGGGAAGGTTATGGAGTTTCTCTCCTTTAATTTCCTGCGCAATCCAACAGACTTTTCAAAGCTTTGGCGTCTTCTGAAAAACTTCACACAATGTAATACATAAACATTGTACTCTTCATTGGTACTTGGCCGATTTGACATGATATACAGTTGTAAATTATGATTGATGACATCATTCATTTTTCTTGCCTTGGAAGTCATATTCTTGCTTCTCCATAAAAAATCTTTAATCCATGGTACAAAAACACTTGTCATCCTTCCGTCCTGTGCATTGATAATACCCATCATAAGCATCTTCACTCTTGCAGCATTCATGATGTTTATCCTTCATGTCCCTCGTTCAAGAACCATCCACTTTTGGGCTCAAGTCACCCTCAAAAGAAAGAGCTGCGATGAAAGTATTTGTTGTCAGTAATGCTTCAGAATTCTTCCAAAGTTCATTCGCATTCAAACATTTTTCAGATTTGCACCTCCATTTTTGCACGTCTCCATTTGAAAAGAATTGTACAGCATCCACACTAGAAAGTACACAGTAGGGGCTGCAAACACGCACAAATCCATTCTCGTGCAAGTACAAAATTCTCGTATGCGTACACAAGTATTCACAGCTGCATTTCGTTTAACAAAAAGCAAAAGAAATTGTGAACTTTCAAGATTTCTCATGATTCCATGACTGTAAGAGTTGACAAATTGAAATTGGATTTTCTTTACATTCGTGTGCAGTTTTTTGGGGGCCACTTCACTATTTAAATGAGATTCTACTAAAGGTATAAAGTGTTTTTGACACATACCGTAACTGATTGAATTGTTCACTTTTCTTTTGCTTTTTGCCCTTATACAGACTTTCATTCTTCGTCCCTTCAAGAAATCAGTACCCGGTTCTAGTGTTCCTTCCGAGACATCCTTGGTCGAACTGCTGACAGATAATCAATGGATCCAATTCTCATGCTTGCTGCTCTGCCTGCATCTGGCCAGAAGTCCATATTCTAAGTCATCATGGTTTTGCAGAATTCCCAGTGCCATAGGACTCAACTTCTCTTGGAAACCAAGTATCGACGCAAGACTAGGTATAGATTATGTTCCCAAATCACAGACACTTCATGGCAACATGCCAAGTCGCCACCATGATAGAGGGCGCTTTCACCAAACTCAAACTGATCCAGTCTTGTGAATCGTGGTAGGGCTCAAGAAATTCCAATCCTAACCTCAAGTGCATCTATTACAAAGAATGTACATGTAACTCACATGAGGTATGTTCGGAAGTTCTTGGGTCAAAGTGCCAAGATTCCTAAAACCGAGTTTGATTCATTTTGTGGACAGCGCCCTCTAGTGCCGAGGCAGCTTACCCGTGTTGGCCAGTGAGGGACTAGCTCAACGTAAGTCTTGGGAACATAATCCAAAATCTTGTCTTGGGCAAAGACTATTGACAGCTTCAGAATTGGGAAGGGCAATCTCAAGCTGGTACATACAGTAACATGTACATGTGGATCGTTTACGTGTAAGTTCAATCACATCTACATGTTATGTACCGGTACACCAGTTTGCCAATCTACATGTACATCAACTCCAGCCACAACGTCAGCCAAATCTTGACAATCTTGACAGAGAAATAAGTCAATTTAAAACAGAAAAAAAATCACATTTTTATGTACAAACATTACACAAGTAATTACAACAACCCATATTTGCATCTTCAGTTTGTGGGATTTAGTTGAAAACAAATTTCTTCAATTTCTGTAAGGGACAAAGATGCAGTTGAGTAAATCTAGTGTATTAATGATCATTCTAAATATGACCATTTCAAGATAGAGCACCGCTTTTTACTGGGCTCAAATCGCCAAAATCAGGACCAATTTTATGTGTTAACCCTCCTACACTACATTGTATTAAGTTGTATTCATTCACTGATATTTGTACAGGGAATAACAGGCAATATGCTTTCGACTAATGTACAGAGAATAATGAATTAAACAGAATAAAGGGTCAAACAGTTTGACCAGTTGAAGCAAGAAGAAATTTGTCTAGTTTAATTGGTCATTCTCAGAAAAACACAGGAACTGCATACTTCCACTACCCTGAGACTCAAACCAAAAACCAATGCATGGAGAATCTTTTTAATAGAAAAATGAAACCAAGATTGCCCCATTCATTCCAGTGGTTTTTGTTCTAGAGCTTTTTTTGTGAGTTGGAATTGTCCAAATTACAATGTATACATGTACCGTGTAGTTGGGACAATTCCACAGTTGGGCTGAACATTTACAAAGTGAGGATATCATTCTTTCCTAGTAACAGCAAGTTGCGATCTTTTGACCTATGCCTTCATCTTACCTCCTGCGGCGATGTCTTGGTGACCTTGAATATCTTGGCATTTTACCAGATTTTGATTTTTTTTGTCAAGATAAATCTTCAACAAAAACAGGAATCCTGTCGTCTTGTAAGTTCCGGATTGTTGAATGTCAAGCAGCTTGAGGGGTGTCACATAATTGTGTAATCAGCCATACCTGTGAAGAAGGTAAACACTAAGAAAATCATTTTAAAACAGAGAAAATAATGGAAACTGTCAAAACAAACTCTTTTGTGCAGCAGGTCGAAAAGAAGTTTGTAATGAAGTTATCATGGCGAGGGGTACAAATTTCAATTTACTGAATTGCTGTGAAATGGAGACAAAAGTAAAACCAGGGTTTGAGAAATGGGCAGAGACAGCTAGCCTAGATGGTTTACCTTATGCCTATGGCTATGGTCTTGGAGCTAAAAAAAAAAGGAGTTTTAACTTTGCGTGCATGCTGGCTGTACGTGGCTACCCCTCTGTTCTTTCCCCTCCCTAGCTACCTCCCCCAGCCAGCTGCTTTGTTCCGGTCATGGGGGTTTAACCCAGGTGGGGTAGTTATGGAGGACTTCGCCCCCCCCCCCCCCCCAGTCCCCATTCCGCCCCCCCCCCCCCCCCCGGGCCCCATGATGGGGCATGCACTGTCAAAGTGTCAGCAGATTCTCCAACTTTGTCATGTTTGTCTTGAAGTTGAACTCCCCCTGATCTTTACAGTTTACATCAGCAAAGCAAAGGCAAAACATGTTAAGAAAAAGCATGAAAATTCTATGAAATTAATTCTAAGCCTTGTTATTCAATATGCTACATGTATGTACCAATAATAAAAACCATTTTCAGTTGAAAAACGTACGTACCTCCGAAGGAGCGCCATGTTTGTGATACAGCGCGTGTCAAATCTGAACGGCGCCCTCATGTGTCGCTTCGTAGAAATTCAAAGTTTCACCTGCAAGCGCAAAGCCACGCCGCGCGGAATGTTGGCCCGACCAAGCCGCCGAATCACAGCGGCTTATGGGGGGGGGGGGGACTCAGTCTGATCTATCGCTATAAATAATGCTAAAAATGAACCCCACTTTTGATTGTGTGCCGGCGTCTTTTTTAGGCGTATATTGTTGGCGGCGCAGCATGCACGGCCGTGCCCGTGCCTTGCACGTTTTTTTTGGGGGGGGGGGGGGGCCGGAGGGAAATTGAAACCAACTTCAGAACTTCAGAAGCTCAATTTTTTTTTAAATTTGCTTGCAAAATACTTGGATGTTGCTTTTAAAAATGAGCATAATCCTGCCAGACACTCACGTGCCGAACCAGTACGACCATCATGTATACGTGCCGATATCATCGATGTATCCATATCATAGGGACGCCTAGGGCGAAGGGAGTTCTGTTTTTTTGTGTTTGAACTACGCACATTTTTTTTTTAGCTTTATACTATAATTTTAGAACACATTCTCTACAATGTGTTTTCTCTCTCTTACTCCTGTTACATATGTGGGGAACAAACTCAACCAAGGCCAAATAAAACAAACATGTTTAGCGTCCTGCCTTCAATTTTGGGAAAAAAGGAAGGAGGCCCTCTTTTTTCCAAAACGGCCGTCTGACCCATTTTCCAGAACGACCAGCCGGGCTATTTTTCATGTGGCCGTCAGCTTTTTTTTAAAGAGCCGCCACTAAGACTCAGGAAATGAAATACCAACTTTATACGGGCTAAATGCAACAAACAAAGAGGCCAAAATGATGTCACTGTTTGAAATTTAACATTTTTCTTTTTTTTCCCAATTAAAAAAAAGGAAAAAAAAGTAGGCGGCCTCCTTGAAAGGAAGCGGATGGGGACGCTGAACTTCTTTTTACTAGGCCTTAAATATGATTTCTGCACCCCATGATAGACCAGGCTGTATGACAATCAAAGCAGTGCAACACAAACACATTTTCTGCAACACAGTAACATGGTTATATTTCTACAAGTATAGTTCACTCATTACAGTACTACTAAACAAAATTGCACTCGACACCAAATGCAATACATGAATTGAATATGCATAAGGGAATAAACATGGGCTTGGCCAGTATTTCTTTTGTTTTTGCTCCGACCCTATTTTGAAGACCCAAGGCCTAGCTGCACCTCCTAAAACTGAGAGGTATTTTAAACGATTACAGATGTAAAGGTATTTGTCTGGTGTATACACATGCAGTGAAATCTCGATAAGTGAAAGCTCAGGGGAATGGGCTCAAATTTTGAGTTAATCAGAGTTTTGAGTTAGCAAGTGGATTTTCTATTCAACAACAATTGACGGGAGTGAGTTTTTACTTCGAGTTAGAAGGGTTTTGGAGTTAGCAGGTTTTGACTTACCGAGATTTCACTGTGTATACAACAAATTAAGCATCTTTTTTAGTCTCCATGGGAGTCCAGGGATAAAAAAAAATACTGTAGCTGTCATAAAAGTGTTTGTTGATCGCTTGATAACCAAAAAGTGAAATATTTAAATTTGACAGCAGAATCTTGCAAATAGTTGAAAATGGTACAAAAGTTTGAAATAAAAGCTGCGAAATACAGTGTCAAGCAAAAATGATGTATACATGTAGCAATATTGACCCATTTCTCAATGCCATGCAGCATAGATTTAGACTTGTAAATGAAAATTTAGAAGTGAAGCGAATGAAAAGTAAAAACAATTACAAATGTACAGTCCACAATGGTCCAGTCACAAGTAAATCCTGTTACTTCTGAAGTCCCCTCATAAGAGAGAGAAGGGGATTAAACATAAACGGTGGCAAGACTTGTGGCTGATTTAAGATGGAGCTGATTCCAAGGTTCGGTATGGGTGCAATGTTTGGCATGGGTAGAAGGCTCAGTGGTAGCATCTTGACATCAGCAAAGGTCTGGTTAATAACATTGCACTGATTGTTCCTCCCCGCCTGCCCTGATGCTGGCCCACCGGGGTTCTTCTTAACATTCTTTGCTTTCTTGACGTTCTTTCCTTTCTTAACGTTCTTTCCTTGTTTTGCTCGCTGAGCTTGCTTTGCTTTCTTCTTTTCCTTTGCTTTCTTCTTTCTCAGTTGCCTAGCTGCTCTCTGTTGTGCAGTCTGAAAATGAAGAAATCGAAATAAAGTTTGTGCTTCAAATCTATACTGTAGTTTAGACATATTTATAAAGCTCGCGACTCATTATCACCCTGCTCATTGGGCCAAGTGTAGTTTACAATCTCATTGTGGTACAGTGCTTTTAGTTGCTTTTCCCTGACATGCGCGATACCAAACATTGAATAAGTGGTCACAAACTGCAACATGCTTATCCTGCCAAAACAACATTTTTTGCCTTTTCAGTGGGAAATGCAGTGTAAGGCAGAGCATGAGGCAGCAACATTCACTTCAGCCAAACAAAACTATCAAGTACGCACAATTTAATTCCTACCTTCTTTATTTCCTGGTCACGCTTGGCCACCTTCTTTCCTTTCTTGCCTTTCTTGCCTTTCTTGCCTTTCCCTTGCTTAGTGTCCCCTTTCTCCTTGCCTACCAGGCCACGGGTCGATGCTGGACCTCCACCACCTCTGGCACTACCAATGGAGCCCCGCCCACCTCTTGGGTTGTATGTTCCCCTCATGCCACGATTGTTGCCAGGATTATATCCACAGTCGTAGCCTGGGATGTAGTCCTTTCCTAAGTAGCCCCGTCCCCGTCCGTCACGGTAGGTACCCTGCATCGCACCACGGTACTGACCGGTCAGGTCCTTGTAGCCGTCACCTTCAATTGAGACGCAGTCAGGTGACTTGGAATATTCTTCCTGGTCAGGTGACTTGGACCAGTCTTCTACATCAGGTGACTTGGAACAGTCTTCCTGGCGGTCTGGGCTGCGATGGTAGCCCGGGATGTGCATCTTGCCTAAGTGTCCCCGTCCTCCGCGGAAGGTACCGCACGCCGACCCAAACATCGCCCCGCGGTTCTTGCCATGGAATTCCACAATTTCCACTGAATCTTGGTCAGGTGACTTGAAACGGTCGTCCACGAGGTGGTGCTGTGAAAAGAAAGTGATTACAATATAAATAGAAAACTTCAAAAGTGGGAGGGTTTATTATCATTTTACATTCCTCTGCACTCTGCGCTACTCTATCAAGATTACCTTCAAAGAGTTGCTTACGCTTCAGTTTTCTTTCATTACCTGTGCCCAGTTTCATAGCACTGCTTAACAGCCGGTTTTGTGCTTACCGAGCCTCCATCTATTTCATAGAGACCGTAAGCAGTAAACACAGCAAATGCATGCTTAACCCCAGAGGAAACATTTCTTAAATCAGTGCCATAACAATTAAAATTTCATTGCACACACAACCGTTAGCACATCCACGTACGCCATGATATAGTGCTGATAAGCAGTACACCTTAAAATACAAACAACCATTCTTTTAAAAAAAAACGGGTCAACTCACATAGTAAAATAACGGTTTCTTTTTCCCTTTGAGTGACTTCCCGCCTTGATTGCCAACAGAGAACGAGCCGTCTTTAGATCCTTTGGAGATGTTTCTGAGCTGCTCTTTAACAGGTATGCGGTCCCTGGAACACTTGTCCTCAGATTGGTCAGGGGATCGAGAGCACCGATGACGATATGGAGATGTTTTATACCCTTGCACTGGTGAGTGAGAGGGTGAGTGGTCGCTGGACATTCCACTCGTCCTTCTTGACCTGGATCGGGACCGAGAACGGGAGCATGACTGCTCCCTCGGCTTTCCACTCATCCTGCTTGACCTGGAAGTGGATCGGGAAGTTGAGCGTGAGTAATCGCATGACATTCGACTCGTCCTGCTTGATGAGGATTGGGAATGGGAACTGGAGCCCGAGTGTTTCCTGGACCTTTGAGTCATCCTCCTTGACCTTGATTGGGATCGCGAACGGGATCGTGAGTGTTTCCTGAACACTTCACTCATCCTGCTTGACCTGGATTGGGATCGGGACCGGGAACGGGAGCAGGACAAGCTTCTCATTTGCCCTTGCGGGTCCTGTTGCTCCATTTGCTTCTGGCGTGAATCTAGATCATCCCTCATGTCATGTGGTCCCTTGATGCCTGCCAAGTTATCTGGCGGGTTCTGGTAGGAGACCGGAGTCTGAGGCATGTCCTCCATGACAGGGGAAGTGTCCTGGATGAACATTGTTGAATGGTTAAAGTCTGGGTGCGGCTGGACTTCCTTGGGTGGTCCAAACAGATCAAGAGGGTTGACCTGGAACGTTGAAGGCTGAGCTGGGCATTTGCTGCCTAGACCCATTGGGCCAACTTTGGAGTCCAGTTGCATATCCCGTTTAGGTTCAAAGTCAAAGCCAAATATAAGAGGCTCTAGTCTTTCGATAAAGTTTTGGGCCTTTGCTGGAGGCAGCTGCAATCGAGCAAAACGTGCCTTCAGCTCCGGCCGGTCAAATATCCCCTTCACGCCCTCATCCTTACTGCGGGGTATCTTTACTGAAAAGGGGTCAAATATAGGTCTGATGATCGGAGCAGGGGCAAGCTTGACGTTCATGGTTTCGGCTGGCATGGCTGGTTTGTAGCCCTTACCTGAAGCATCCAGCTGGACGTACGTCTCCTGACCTTGATAGTATTCTTCTATAGGTTTGAAGATCTTATGGTTAACGGGTGATTTACTGCATTGGGCAGGCTTGGGAGAGAAGCGCTGATCATCTGGACATACAGCTTCAGATTTCGCCGTTTCGTTCTCCTTGTACCTGTCCTTAGAGGAGCTCTCCAAAGACTGGCTATGCGCAAACTTTGATTGGATGCTCCCTGTTTTACTACTGTCCCTATCACAGACCCCAACATCTTGGGAGGTCAAAGGTAACTGGTCTTGTGCCCGAGCTCCTTTTCCATACTCTTCTCTGCATACGTTATGGTGAGGAAGATGTGGAGGCCCTTCAGTGTTGCTAATTTGGCTGTTTTGCTGTAACTGGCTCGCGCCATCTTGAAAGCCTGAGCAGGAGCCAGCCCGCTCCTTCTGTCCGTAATTACCAGTTTCATTTTGTTGGTCGCTGGCCTCCCGCCCACCTTGCTGAGGTGATCTCTTGGGCGACCTGTATCTCTCATTTCGGAGAGATGGTGACTGAGACCTGGACTTGGCCTTGCTTGTTGATCCACTGTAGTGACGTTTCTCAGGGGCGTAAGAGTGTGAGCCTCTGCCTCCTCGCTGCTTTGAGGAGGAACTCTTATAGCTTGACCCACGGTCCTTCCTTGGTGGGGATCGGGAATATGAGCACCCCCTAGTGGTCTTCTTGCCATGAGGGTGGTATTTGCGGATACCTCTCAGAGGTGACCTGGATGTTGAACTGGATCTGGATCTGGATGTGGAACTGGACCTGGAACTGGACCTGGAACTGGATCTGGAACTGGATCTTGAACTGGATCTGGAACTGGAACTGGATCTGGAACTGGAACTGGATCTGGAACTGGATCCGGACCTGGATCCGGAACTGGATCTGGAACTGGATCGTGAGCTGGCACTGCTGGAATATGATCTGCATATAAAGACAATAATGGGATTCATTTCTGGAATCCATTCTCAGTTTCTCGAATTGTGATTCTTTGCACTGGCAAAACTCAAATTCTAAGTCTCTATAGTTGGAGTTTTTATCTGCCCATAGGGATACAATGCGTCCAAGGACCTGCAGTGCACAGCATCTGAGGACTCAACTTGTAAGGCATGTCAATATGCCATCTTCAGGAATTATCCCCATAAGGCTATTAAAACACTGAATTTTGCGTGTATATTGTATGATTACCATTCTGTGCTGAAAATGCTATACAACCCAAATTTTCCACTAAATGTTTTGCGCTACATGTAAGACTTACACAATGTCTTTCCTTGGTGGGAGTCGGGAATAGGAGCCCCCACTAGTGATCTTCCTGGCATACTTTGGATAACTTCTCAGAGGTGACCTGGATCTTGACCTAGATCTTGACCTGGATCTAGACCTGGACCTGCTGTTGCTGCTCGTATAAGATCTGCATAAAAAGACAAACGTGTTATTATTTCCTTTCTGAGCTGCTCGGATGTGATATCATTTTGTGGCGACAGGTCAACTCAGCATATGCAAAAAATATAATAGTGTTAGTGATGATTTTTTGGTTTCACTGATTCTTAAAATCTGCAAGTGATGGCTTTTGACTTATACCGTTTTCTTACCTTCGACTGCGATGTCTTGGCGACCTTGACCTTGAATATCTTGGCATTTTGCCAGCTTGTTTTTCCAATGTATATTTTCTCATCAAAAGCTGAAACCATTTGGTCTTGTCTGGTAGGTAAGTTCCAGACTGGTCATGCTGGTCATGCTGGTTATGTCATGCAGCTTGTTGAGGAGGGGTGTTGTAATCACCATAACCTGGGAGGAAAAAAATTACAGACCAAAAAAAAAATCATTTCAAAACAGAGAAAGAATGCATCATATCATAACAATGATACTGATAAATAACGTTAGTCGAATAGACAGCTGGTCAAATTTAAGGGGGTAAAAAAAACCAATAGTTGATCATCGGGGGGGGGGGGGAGTTCAAAAAGAGGAGGATGAGGGCCTTTTTATTGAACAATTGGTATGGGGAGGGGGAGGGGTAGCGGCCTCAACCGACAAGCTCACTAACCAACGCCGCGACCATGCAATTACGGCACTGAACATGCTGAACGCATTCCCAAACTTTCATGACTTTGAATTCCCCTAACCTTCACATTCAGCATTGGAAAATCATGTTAAACTACCCCCATGGTTAAACAAAGGCAAGAACATTCATCCAAATTCGTTTAAAGCTGAATCGTTGAACGTGATGCAAAATCAAAAGCATGTTTATGTAGTGAATTCGACGTACCTCGGAGGTCCCGGTCCCTGCGCCATGTTTCTCCCATATTAAATGTCAATGGCGCCCTCATGTGTCGCTTCGTAGAAATTCTAAAGTTTCATACATGCGGTGCCGCAAAACACTTTCCCTTTTATTTTGGGAGCGCGGGGAGTCGACATCAAAGTTGACACAAGCCAGTCCCTATGCAAAGCCGAATCCATGATTATTACAAAGGGGTCTGATATTGAGCTTATTTTTCACTGGCCCCTGGGGAGTCAGTCATGTGGAATATTTCCCGAGCTTTCTATCTACGAGACCGATAGATTTAGTAAGCCTTCTCAACTAATTATAATACGCTTGCGTACGATGGTAAAATAATTATCCAGAAACGTGAATCAGAAACTGATCGTAACGACTTGATTGAATACAATTAAAGAAAGAACATTCACTGCTGGGGGTAAAGAGTTAATGTAAAATTTCAGGCTAGGTGGGACTCGAACCGCCGCCAACCTAGCAGTGTTGATTATGTTTCACGCTCATGGCTTTGGGTATAATGACTTTACTCAGACGGCCGTGTTTCGTATACGGATCTGAAAAACACGTGAAGTTATAGGATCCTACGAATATCTCCTGACCACTGTGAAAAAGCGCAAACTGAAGTGGTATGGGCACATTTCACGATCATCAGGACTTGCTAAGGCGATCCTGCAAGGCACTGTACAAGGAGGAAGAAAGAGAGGCAGGCAGAGAAAGAAGTGGAAGGACAACATCTCAGAGTGGACAGGCCTAACGCTGAGTGACCGTCCCTGCGAAAGTCTGAGGATCGAAAGGGATCGAGGAAGCTGGTTGACAAGTCTTCAAGCTTAAGTTCAAAGGGTGCCACACGGTCAGACAGACTATACGGGATACAATAGCAAGAAGAAACATTGCGGCCAGGCCGCATTCTTTGGTATTTTTCCTCACTAAGTTTACTTTTTTTGAGACACTTCAAAATGAAAAAAAAAATTGTTGGGACACCTCCATGCACCAATCCGAGCCCACCCGCCGCCTTTAAATTTCAAAAGTTCAGAGGCCCCTTCCCGGGCCCCGACCTTTTACTCGCTACTGCGTCGATCGATCACAACGCAAAGCAAAATGGAATTGTGGTTCTTCCGAGGCTTCCCGCACGTTTTCGGATGCAAATTTTGATCCACCTGTCGTAATTATATGCGACAGGGACGTACGTATGCAGTACTAGCCGCATTATCAAGTCAAGCATATTTTTGCCAGCTAAACATGAAATTAAATGGAAGAGCGCGCGGAGCTCGCCATGCATGATGTAGTGTCTCCATGGTAACAAGCTGGTTACTGCCGGGATAAAGCAACTCGCTGTCAACTCAACGGTGAAGACATCTCCACGCTACAAATAGTGCGGGCATAGGCCTAAATGTAAAACACGGTGCTAAACTTGAAAATTGCAAAATCTTGTCGAATCGGAAATGAGCAAAATCTGTCTGGACACATCACGTCATGCAGCTCTATAAAGACGGTGGAGTCCAACTGACCAAAATAATCATCTGATGCGCGATGTGATTAATTATCCGTTCAAATTTCACACGTGTACCCCGGTTATATAAACGTGAATACAGTATATTTGGGGGACATTTTCTTGGACTATATTTCATTTGAATACACTTAAAACTCGCAATACGGGCATGCATAAAAGTCAATTACATGTAGTCAACAAAATAATGCGCGTCAAGTAAATTGTTGAATTTCGGCTTGGCTGGTAAAAGCCGAACACATCTATACGGTTCAAGCATCCTTCCTCGTTATCAGCTGATTTCCTGATTTCCACTTCACATATGGCATTAAAATGTGAAAAACACTTTATAAAGTTTTGAACAGCTTGAATTGTCCCCTTTTCTTGCTGCTTCTAATATAAGCATGAGGCTATACCTCCATGTTCTAAGTTGCGGGCACGGTTGTTACCCAAATCCAGCAAGTGCATTATAAATTCTAAAAACAAACCACCGATACAAAATCTTAAAAAAACGCAGAAAAAAATGTTTTCACAGTATTTTATTCCTCTCCACTATGTTACAATAAGTTTACAGTTCACATTTAATGTTTCAACAAAACATCTTCACGCATTTTTCTGATATTTCAAACAAAACATTAACTGTATGATTCTGGCACGAACTGAACTCCGAATCCACGAATGCAGGTGGGTGCTTTTAACAACACAATACGGACCAGTAACAATGCTGATGCTTATACTTTGATGTGATTTTCTTTCACCTAATACATGGCCTTAAAAGTACAAATTAATAATTAAAACAAGAAAAACAAATACATCCGGGACCTGCATTGGTTGTGTGTCCAATCTTAAACCTGCTTACAGTTGAACAACTCAGACTGGGATACCTGACTAGCCACAATATTAATTAATCTCATTAATCAGCCACCATTTTCCAAGTAAATCATCTGAACTATTTTCCCAGTATAAAATGGCAAGTTGGAACAATTCTGGAAGATCAATAACTTTAAACTTATGACCAAAAATATATATTTCTTTGTATTTCGTTTTAATTATGCACATGGGAATAATCACAGATTTTAATTTACATGTACATGACATTCCCACTGTTAATACTAAAGCTTTTTCTGCAAGTTTAAATGCTAAATGCTTTTAACAGGAAGAAATTTCACTTAATTGACTTAAAATCAAAGACCATACTTTTCAGCAGTTTAGTGAATTGATTCATAGATAGAGAATCAGGGGGGAAAGGTAAAGTATTTCAGAACTGACGGCAATTAACAAACAAGTGTTTGCAAATGTTCAAGTAAAATATGATTTGAAATTAACTTGACATGTAAATAAATAAACTCAGACTTCTAATTACGGGGAAGCATCTCAAAACTCCACACTTCACACACAGTGCGTACGTTTCAATACGTTTCTCAATGTGTTAACTTCGAGTTCAAAGCCTGGTTCCCAAAGTAAACACATTATGTGCAAAGTCAAAACAATGTTCTCCAACAGGAGCTCTTCGTTCCAGGCTGTTCCAAGTAGGATCATTTTGTTCCGATAGAATCATGCAAAATGTTGTAAGCAGAGTTTTGACGCACTCCTTAAGATAACATTTTTTTTAATATTCACATTATAACAGTAATATAGTATACAACATAGTTTGCATATGTGCCCTGATAGCTAGTGCATATTATTTTGTGTGAAAGAATAATATATTCCACTTCATTGAATACAAAAACTAGATCATGTTATAGCACAGAACTGAATCTCAAACATTGAATCAATAATATGAGCACTTTTTTTTATAACTTCCTGAGTGCAAAACACAAAGTACAATTTTTAATGTCACGAATTAATGCTTGAAATATACACCGTTAATATTTCTTTAAAACGTAATCGATTCAGAAATGCTCCTAAAAGTTGTAACACAATGCTGATAATTGTTTAAATTAACAAGTATTAATGCTATAGCTGTAGCACAACTATGAATAGTGATGATTATGATGTACAAAATAAAATAGCAGAATGACAAATTTTGAAAGCCACAACACAACAACAACTGTTCAAAAACTCCAACTCAAAGGAACAGTGTGGAAAATAAGAAACAACAAAATAATAATAATAATAATGTCTAAACATTTTCAATATGCTTTGGTCTCAGTGCTTTCAAGGTAAGGTGGTATATAATTAAATTTTCAAATGAAGCATGAATCTAGAATGACGCATCAAGTGAATATACATGCACATATACACACTGAAATCGAAAAACAACTGCTTTTTAAGAACGCTGCGCTGGCCTCGGCATTAAATCATTACGCAGTGATTACAGGAAAATCACAGCAATGCGCGGTTTTCACAATACACAGTAGTTGGAATCGGTGTCTTCCTAATGAAATCATGGCCTGGAATTGCTTTTCTGTCAAACACTATACACTATACACACTGATACTTCCTCCATGGTGAACACAATTACACACAAGAACAGTCTTACATGACATTTGTTTTTAGAAAGACATTTGTTTCCACAGTGCAAACATACTTGTTTCATAGTTGCGGGGACCGCACGATGAGTGATAGTTATTGTGGGGACCGAAGACGCTGTGAGGACAGCAGAAAGTCCACACAACTCAGTGCCGATCTCCCCAACAATAAACAAACATGGTCACCGTCAATAAAGTTATCAAGTCTACAACTTTGAGCACACACATACATCCTGTGCAAAACATGAACTTTTTTAAATTTATATAAGGCACGTGCATCTGAATGAGACCTGTTTTAACACAGAAAAAAAAAGCTTGCAGAGTATAATAACATACCGATCCATTTTAACAAGCTCCGCCCCGTGGTATTATTGACCAATCACAGCAGTGATATGCAGTGGGCGGGGCCTAATGGATCGTTCCATTCTGTTTTAAGTTAAAAAGCAATCTCAAAAATGCAAAATGTGATTAGACCAGAGCTTCAACTCACATATAATATGAGTAGGTACAACCGAATTTATGGACGGTGCGTAAGGGCAAAATCTTAACAAATTTAAACAGATAACAACGGTATTTTTTTCGTAAGCGCATAACGGTGTATGGACGGCGTATGGACGGCCAGATGCACAATTAAACAATAATATTGTACCTTTAAATGCTGTGAGTACTAACTAATGTTAAAATAACATTTTTAAATCAACCATTTCATAATATTTACACTATGTTCATTAAAATAGTTTGCTTATTGAATACATTGTACACAGTGCAGCTTTCTGTTGATATTTAAACATGTGAAAGCTAACAATCGAGTCCCTGGCTTTTTGAAAACAATTTGACATGTAAGAAAAATGTTGAGGGTACTGTCCACCCTAATGCCTTCTAAAGATTGTAAAATTATGCCAAGTTTTGCAGATTAACTTTTTTTCAATGTCGCATATTCTCACTCGATCCTGACATGCTAGTTAAACCATACATTCAAGTAATCATAAACATATTTTGTACAAACAATTAAGAAATGATGAAAATTCAGCTCCAGACATTTTCAGCGTCATGGCTTTCCCAAGTGTATGATGTTGGTCACTTTCAGCCAAAAGAACAAAATTATGAAAACATTTTTCCTTAAAACTATGTAAATGAATATATATATGTTATAAGTTGTGTATTATGTACATAAAAATGCAAAAACATTGAACAGTAATAACTCAATGGCTCGCTGAAATACACCAGCTACATTCATTATGACATTGTAACATCGAGTGCATGAATACATTCGTGAATACAGTGCAAAAATTTCACCATTTCCACGGATATAGATCTCTATTGGAAAGTGCAACTGCAATCGTGATTTGTTCTGCAACATGCTTTTACTTTACATCTCTTTAATATTCTTTGGCCTTCTGTCACAACCAAATTGTTAAGCAAAGAGTGCTGTAATGCATACACATGTCTCACAAGTTTTGTTTTTCCGCTCAGTGTAACAATGTCATAATTTATGTAGTAGCTGTCGCGATGCCGTTTTCAGCGGGCTTCTGGGCGGATGCACATCGCGAGGTTGGCCGCGGCCGCGAGTGACTCTTTCGAGGCGATTTGGGCGGGGTGGGCGTGTACGTGCGTGGGGTGGACCTGTCCGAGTCACCGTTCTGCAGGGGCTGGTCCTCCTCTGACTTGATGCCGGAATCCATCTCCTTGCCGGAGTCCACCCTCCGAGCTGGGGAATCATCTGAATCGTCTCCGTTGACGTTCTGAGCCGGTTCCTGATCCTCTGCTTGATTCTCGTTTTCATCGGTCGCCAGGGGAGCCTCATCTTCATTTGGGTTCTCTGGTGGAGATTCATTGTCGTTGAAGTCCTTCGGATCATTAGACTCTCGATTCTCATTTTCATCAGTCATCATCGTAGGAGCAGCCTCATCTTCGTTTTGTTTCTCTGGAGGTTCAGTGTCTTTGGTGCTGTCAGGAGCAGTAGACTCCTGATCCTCATTTTTATTGGCCGTTGTCAAAGAAGCATCATCATTTTTGTTTGGGTTCTCTGAAGAAGGCTCACCATCTTTGGTATCCCTGAGATCATTGGACTCTCCATTCTTGGTTTCACCAGTCATCAAAGGGGCAACCTTATCTTCCTTTTGATTCTCTAAAAGAGATTCATTGTCTTTGGTATCCTTTGGATCATTGGGCTCTTGATTCTTCTTGTCTTCAGTCATCATGGAAGGAGCGACCTCATCTTGATTTTGGTCCCCTTGAGGAGGTTCAGTGTCTTTAGTGTTCTCAGGATCAATAGGCTCTTGATTCTTATTTTCATCAGTTGTCATTGCTGAAGGCTCCTCAACTTCATTTGGATTCTCTGGAGGAGATTCACTTTCCTTGATACTATCAGGATCAATGGGTTGTTGATTCTCATTTTCATCTTTGTTACGATTCTCTGGTGGACTCTCATTATCGATGATATCCTGTGGATCATTATGTTTCTCCCCTTCAATTGGCTCTTCAAATGTCTGTGGCTTCTCTTCAGAATTCTCTTTTTTGTTCCCTGCTTCTAGCATCTCAGACTCTTGACTATTACTGTTGGCATTTGGAGCAGGTTCCTGATCTGGCTCAGGCTTGTCAGATTTCTCTTCTATTGGCTCCTTAAATAACTGATGCTTCTCCTCTGAACTACTCTCTTTTTCTTTCTCTGCTTCTATCTCTAAATCTGTAGCGATGTTGTTGGTGTTTTGAGCCTGTCCCTGATCTTGCTTGGTTTCGTTAGGTTTTTCCTCTTCTTTTGGATCCTCAGGTGACTGTTTTTCGTCTTCAGAAATGAGCTCATTTTGTTTTCCTGGTTCTTGTTTCTCAGCATCTTCATTTATTCCTTGACCAGCATCCTCCTTATCTCTGTGAGGTTCATCCTCACAATGACTCCCTGGTCCTTCTGCCTTGTCAGCAGCTCCTTGCACTTTGGATGAATCTTCTTCCTTAAACTGATGGTCATCATCTGCAACGTGTTCCTCGGGCTGTGGAGTATCATCTGCATCAGCTGGGTGATTGTCATCATAAGCCCCGCCTGTTTCAGCATCGACCTCATCTGCTGCAACATCTTTGTTGTCAACACTGGCAGCAGCGTCATTCTCCTTGACCGCAGAATTATCGCCTCCATCTTTATCAGCGTTTTCCTCTATCTTATCTCCATCATCTGTCTTGTTATCCGCTTCACTCTTCTTGTCTGCATCCTTGACAGCTGCCTCTTCAGAGTTGATCCTTACGGAAGATGATTTTGAGCCGTTGTTAGGCTCATCGATGGAGTTCGCCGGGGTAGGTGGACCCGGACTCGGGGATTGTCGGGGTGGGGTAGTAGCTAAGGGTGGAGAGCCCGGGGGTGGGGAAGTTAGGAGAGGGGAAGTAAGGGGTGGGGAAGTCCGGAGTGGAGATTTCAGGCGTGGCGGGGAGGTCGGTGACAATGTAGTCTGGGGTTGTGGGGATTGAGCTGGGGAAATCTGGGCTGGGGAAGTATGGGCTGGGGCAGTTTCCAATGGAGGAGTGGGGGGTGGAGTCGCACGAGAAGGGGGCTGGGTTATCTGAGAAGTGGTAGGGGTCTGTGAAGCCGTTGGGCTCCCATTTGGGAGGGGCATCTCAGGGGACTGTACAGGGCTTGAAACTGGCAGAGGAGGGGACTGGCCTGTCTTGTCAGAGTTATTAAGCAGCTGTAAGAACAGAAGGAAAAAAAAGAAAAAATTAAATTGCATAAATTTGTTTAATAGCACTTTAAAAAACGTGTTTGTGAAGAAAAACGAAGCTTTGAAAATGAAACAATTTTCACATCAAAACAAGCGAATATGTAACAATTATGAATGAAATGAATACAGAACTTTTGTTAAAAAAGCAGACAAAGCGAACGTCAGCAAAATGTTAAGAGAACAGGTAGAATGAAGGCCTACGACCCGGAGAAAAAGACTGAAATTAAACAAACAGAGACAGAAAAAACCTATTAGCACAAACCATGGATGCCAACTCCAACCTTGAACAACTTCAATTTTGCTGGAATATTATTTTCCAGGTGTTCAAAAATAAAACTGCTAAAAATAAAACCGGATTGATGATTCGATAATCTCGGCGACTGAAGATTGCTTGATTTTTGAAGAATCGTTCTCTTGCAAATGTCAAAGATATATGTAATTTGTTCTCCATCCCCCCCCCCCCCCACCAACTGAACCAGCGTACTGAATTTGCAAGTGATCAAATACCAGTATCTATTTGAATGAACTGCTTTAGATATAGCAGGAAAAGAAGTTGGCATCTTAGGAGAAATGTCTTCAAGACGATCCCCCCCCCCCCCCATATTTTATGTCAGTGAAGAAGAAGTGAAAACAGGAAGAATTATTTTTTCGGGTAAGCGCTCATGTTAATTAGACAGACAACACACAATGAAACAAACAAACAAACAGACATTACAATGCATGCATTAGTGTGTCATTTGTGAAGTCATTTGTGAAGTGCGTACGCTTATTCTTTGGAAAACTCTTTGGAAGTTAAAAGCCCATTCTCCATTCATACAGAAAAAAAAATTTTCTCAAGGAAATCCACAGTGAAAGGTTTTATAAAAGCTTCTTTGTAGACTTGATCATTAAATATATTGACCCAAAAAATATTCTTTCTGTTTCACAGAAAAAGTAGTAATATTGGAATGAATTTGTTAGTGGCAAAAATAAATAAAATAGAATAAAAAGATTCTTAATTTACATTTTCCTGTAAAAAACAAAAAAGTATTTGGTTTTGGTTTTTGCATTTTTTTTAAACCCAGCTTAAATTTGAGAATATTTTCTTCGGATTTAAGTTTTTAAAATTTAAAAAAAAAAAAAAAAAAATCTGTAATTTTGATTTTTTCTTTGCCCGTTTTTGAGGGGTTTTTTTAGGTGGGGGTTGGGGGAATTAAAGAGAAAAATTGTTTGATTTTTTTTTTAAATTGGCTGATTTTCATTCCCCCAACACAATGAATCAAAACAACTGAAGTGTGCTACACATTCATAATACATTTTATCCTCATCAATAAGTACATGTAGCACCATTTACAGAGATTTCAATCCAGCCCCTTGATTTTAGAAAGGGTTAAAAATAACTCTCTAAAACATCTTTTCGAATGCATTAAGAAATTGAGAGGCAGGGGAGGAAGCACTTAAGGAGGAAGTAGCAGATCTTCCACAAAAAAAAGATTAAACAAAAAGAGAGAGAGAAAAAAAAGAAGCTTTTAACAGAAGATTACTGCACTATAACTACAGGCAACGGAAGACTGTGCAGCATTCTACAAATGCATGCGCATGCACGAGACAGATATTGTTAGTAAGTGTATTAGTCACTCTATGATTTAGCCAAAAACGGAAAGAAAAAAAATAAGTGTTAATTAGGCAAAATCTGTGAATTTTCCAATTTTTTTTCTCCATTTTTTTTCTTTGAACTCACCCTCATCAGTCAAAAAGGCAACAGGCTGTGGTGGATGACAATGTGGGAGTGGAATAGGGAAAGGGATACAAAGCAAAATGCATGCAGTTAACAACAATTGTACTTAATTTCGTTGTGTAATAAACCACTGAACTAATGTAAGTCATGAAGTTTGTGGTAGCATGATGTACGCTTATAATGTCCTCAACGGTAAGAACGAGAGTTTGGGGCGACCAATGGGAGAGACATACAGATTGCTGTTGACGCCCCCCTGACACTCACGCAGGGGTACCCACAGGGTGTGGCCGTCATAGGGCTCTCAAAAGTGGTACAAAAATTGCCCACCCTTTGTTCTCGCATAACACACTGCTACACAAGCTACCAGTACATTAATGTGTACCACAAACTTTATGACTGGTTGGCTGAAAGTCCACCATGCAAACCTAAATCTTACTGTGACTCGGTGTCTTATTTCTCGGTGTCTTCATGCCAAAATGCAAACAAATAATTGTGCTCGGTGCTACTTTCTTAATCCTTTGTTTTCCCCACATGCAAACTCATTTAAAGTTGTACTGTACAAGACTTGTACGGAAGACTTAGCAACAAACTGGCACTGATTTCTGTTTTGGTCATTTTGCAAGAAATTAAAAAGTCAGTCACAAAATAAAAGTTGAAAAAAGTAAAGCAATAAAAAGATTAATTGATAATAAAGTACATTATTTCAGAAATTTCAGAAAACCTACTACATGTATATGCCTGTAATACCGGTAGCTACTGGAGACTCCCGTTTAAATTTCAAAACATATCAAGAAATTCAAGAGCTACATGTACCTGTATAACATGTAAACAAGAGAGGACTACCATGTATGTGCTACAGGTAGCACCTAGCCAAATACATTGGCTCTATACCTTAACTCTTATACCATAGCCTACACAATTGATATAATCTGCTATCTTCTCTGCATATTCACAAAGCTGAATTCTGTTTCAAAAGTTGAATTGAATCGTAGGCCATGTCCATGCCCTATACTTGATACAAATGTGACCATTTGGCCCCTATTAAACATGTTCATGTTCTTGTATATTGATCAGCCTGTGTTGCCTTATTTTTAATTTGTCCCTCAAAATCTTTTCAGCTATCACGCAAAGCTTTTGCAAATCAAATTTTCAGCCAACTTCAGATGCAGGCAACTTATCGTTACCATTACTTTTGTTTGTTTTTGCCAGCGCTTTTCCCTTAAGCTGCTTACAGTTTCTTTCATTAAATTTGACGTTGCATACACCGTACCGTACGTCAATCACGAACGTCCTGCAGTAAAAAGACGACCGTAGACTTCTGCCACTTTCGCATTTGCAAATGGATGCTATTCCCAAGTGGCTACCTTGGGCAGTGAACATTTCTCATTCTCTTGTAAAGCTTTTATAGTTTGGTTTTTTTTTAGTTTTAGTATGGAGAAGACTTTAACTTCACATCTATGCTCAATGTGCTTCCTGCTTGCCACTAAGGAGGCAGCTTTCAGCCGGAGCTAAATTCTCTCATCCCCCCCCCCCCCAAAAAAAGGAAAATCAAAGACAGTCAGAATTAAAGGCAAACTGCAACATTATTTCTAGTACATACATTGTCCGCAATGCCAATTGATGGATTTTGGGGCTGTACATTTTCAAATAATTTAGTATGCGATAAGTCAAACGTGGATTTGATGGAATAGTAGAATACATTCCAAATGCCGCCGATCAAGTTTCCATGTTTTCAGTCAAAATTGCCTGTTTCAGTCGTACATTGCATCAGCCAATCAGGAACAGTGAGCGCGCAACCTGTTTAAAATTGGCATGCGCTGAATTGAGAATTAAACTGATCACAATCTGTGTACGCCTGTCAAAAATTGGCAAGGACCTTAAAAGAAACAAGAACATACGGCCTAAATGTAAATGTGTCAATATAATTTTTCAAGGCAGCTGAACAGCTGATATGCACAATAACATCACAAGACATTTTCCTCAACTTCTCAAGACATCCACATTGTCTTGGGAAATATTTGGCATATTTGGCACAGCCTTACGGTAGTTGATTTCAACTTTAAACTTTGTCTTTCTTTCTCACTGTGAAATATGTATTCTCCTATCGTTCCATGAACCCACGATAGTTTGAACATCAACCGTCTTTATTACGAAATGCAGCGGCTATGAATTAATGTCCTTATTCAATTATGAACAAATTGGAAATTAAATCACAGGCAAGTTTCAATCAAATTCGAAATCAAAAAAGAAAAACCTTAAAAGTGTAGTGCCGGAACATTTTGCCTCATGAGAATGCCCACATTTCGCCTAACGAGAACGCCTAATAGGAACGCATACTCTGATCTCTGGACAGCAGGTGTTATTTGTGGACCTTTGATTGCAACCCTTAATTAACACTCACATTTTGCAGCTTTTTTGCAGACATTTTCTTTGAACTCTCGCCAAAATACTGTTCAGCATTCATAATCTGAATAATCTTTGCATGTCCAAACAACTTGTTTTTAGTTCTTTTGCATTTAAATATATGAAAGCAATTCTCCTCAAAATTGAAATTGTGAAGAAATTTTCCACTAAACATGTTTTGTATTTCTTGCTTCAAATTTTTAATATTTTCTATCAACCATGTATTTCTATCATGCCTCCATCCACTTTAATGATTTCAATATTTCCTTCTAACTACCATGCCTTCTAACAGTTTATTATCTTGCATTTGATGACATATTTTTTACTCAACTTACTAAACAGAAAAAAAAAATCTTTTCATGTCAAACCTTCTTAACATTTTGGACAAACTTAGACTTAAATATTTGTGTTAACCTTCAGGTTTTAACCACAAAATCTGGAAAATTTAAACTGAAGTTTTTTTTTATATTTTAACCTCATAGCAAGACAGTTGAACTTGTCAGTGTTACGTTTTACTTTTCCAAACCTATGTGTACATCAATAACCTATGAACTATGACCTGCCCTGTCCTGACCTACGTACCCAGTCCTCTCCACTGCTAGCCTAGACTGCTTCCCCTGCCCTGAAATTGCTGCCCTTAACTCACTTGCTCAGCATCCTTTGGTTGAGATGGTGTGACTTCGCGAGGTGGTGGAGTGGGTTCAAGAGGTGGCGTTGCCTCACGAGGAGGGGGTGTTGGATCCAGAGGTGGTGTTGCCTCGCGAGGTGGTGGCGTTGGTTCCAAAGGTGGCGTGGCCTCACGAGGAGGAGGTGGTGGATCCAAAGGTGGTGTTGCCTCGCGGGGTGGTGGCGTTGGTTCAAGTGGCGGTGTCGCCTCCCGAGGTGGTGGTGTAGGCTCAAGTTGTGGTGTCACCTCGCGAGGTGGTGTTGCCTCACGAGGTGGTGGTGTTGGATCCAGAGGCGGCGTCGCCTCGCGTGGTGGTGGCGTCGGATCCAGCTGTGGTGTTGCCTCACGAGGTGGTGTTGCCTCACGAGGTGGTGTTGCCTCACGAGGTGGTGTCGCCTCGCGAGGTGGCGGTGATGGGTTCTGAGTTAGGAACTCATTGACCTCAGCTTCTTCTTCGTCAACCTCTTCAGCAGCAATTTGATCAACCGGAAGATCAACGGCAGTTTCATTGGTTTCTTCCACTTCGGCCGCCCTGGCTGTCTCTTTGCGCTGCTCAGATGCTTTGAAAACACTGTTTGGATCTGGAAGACAAACAAATTGACAGAAAAATTATAACTCATGTGGTGCTTACGGTATTGCTTTATACGAATGTCTTTTAACAAAAGTACTTCACAAATATTATCCCTGTTCATCAGGTCATGAGAAAAGTTTACAGCGGTTTGCGATCAGAGCACTCTCTAGTCTTCACAAGTACCTATTAAGTACATAGAATTTTTTTGAAGCTGCTGACCTGTTTCCTTCCTGTTTTCTGGGACTTAGAACATTTCTGAAGCCTGCTAACCTGTTTTGTTTCTGTTTTTGTGGACTTTTTGTAGCATGCTGACCTGGTTTCTTACTGTTTTGGGGTACTTAGAAAAAGCCATTGGTGTTTGACTATTTTGTTCCTGTTTGCTGTGAAGGGTATTTGCTTAGTTAGCCCGGTTTTAAGAGAGGCAGTTGCAGTATCAACTATCTAAACGCCTCTTTCCACCCAGGAGTATAAATGGGTACCTGTGAGGGTAAAGACAAGATTGCGCTGATCTTTAGCTGCTTCAGAAAACTGGTCTCATTGCCTAATGAACAGGGGTAATAATTGTGAAGCGCTTTAAGACCTGGTATTGGACCAGAGGGCTCCATAATGAAGAACACTGCACACCATGTTTTTTCCTTCGAATAAATGTATACCTTCGTAGTCTAGCGATTCCTTGGTGTGATCTTCTTTCTCCCGGCTGCGTTTGACCATGGCTGGCTTGTGGTGGAACACCTCCTCAGCCTCCTTCTGATCGGCCGTCTTCTCAGCCTTGGGGCGTCGGCTCTTGGGTTTCTGCTCAGACTGGGTGTTGGCAGCGGGCTTGGGCGGGGCTTGGGGTTTGCGGGGAGGGGCCTCCTGTTTAGGTGGGGGAGGCCTGGGCTCCCGTTGTTGGGTAGGTTTCTGGGTTTCTTTAGCTGGAGAGGGCTTGGCTTTTGGCGGAGGTCTTCTGGGGACTGGTGGAAGCACTCTGAAAATTAAGAGCGGGACAAAAAAGAAAATTTGTCTTAGAGATGATGTACAGAATGGCAGAAATGGTGTTTACGAAACTGCGGGAAGAGCATAGTGTGCACAATCTTTGGCACACTCTCAGCACGTTGTTTGGTGAATTACATTCTGTACCGTCCAAACTTTTTGTTTTTATAACACTTGTAAGTTATTATACAGTTTGGATTAAAGGAATAATTACATAAAAGCCCAATACATGAACATGAGCATGTCTGGAATTTACATGTAGATGAACATGTTGACCAAAATAGACAGGTACCGGTACATGTATTTTGTCACTATTTCCAGCATGCTAATGACAATTTACCTTAGGTTTTTTTTATATAATGAATTGCAAGTTGTACCGGTGTTTCCCCCACATGGACACACAGTACATGTACCGTATAATGTTTGTGGACAACACCGTACATGTACATGATTGTATTGGTACTATGTACTTTCTTAAGAATAATACAAATAAATTCAATTCAAGGAAACGGCCAAAAATATTGAAAAAATAAGAGGAAATGCTTTGAAAATCTGATTGACGTCATCATCTCATAAGAATGCTGAGTACATGGCGGGTACATGTACACCCTGCCCCCAACACCATTGTCCCCTGAGAAATAATTTGTAAACAAAACAAATAAATTAGCATCATCGGCCTTTCAGCCTTTCGTACTGCGCTGCCCTGGGACTTATTTGCAGATTTATTTATCATTTTTGAATGAAGGCCAGTCCCAGAACAATCATTCTCTTTCGTCTCCTTTCATACTTTTCTTCAATTACATTCCACAAAGCTGGAGATTGCGGTTTAAGAAGGCAAGATTCCTGCAGGGTTGCTTCAGGGATGATGGAAATGCAAAGCTTATTTTGGCCGTGAAAATCTCTGGGAGTGAAAGCTCATCACCGCCCTGCCTCACCTTAATCATCAACATCATAATTAGTTTGGAAGATTTTCTGAAGATTTTCATACGATCGTGTAATTTCCTTGGAATGGGCCACAAGGGCAGTGTATTTGATAACAGAGGACTCTCAGGATGATGCGGGAAGCTAGAGTTCTTTGCAATTGCCAGATGTTTTCAATCAAACTTTCACAAACAAAAATTGTCAACATCCATCACAAATAAAAATTTTCAGCATCCGTCTTTACAAAAATACATTGATGGGCTCCCCATTTGTCAATGTTTTTGTTTATGGTGCAATTAATTGTCACATATTACAAATTTATGTCATAAAACTCCGCAAGAAATGTCATTCAGGACTCCTTTATTTTTGCAAATTTTATGTCCTTTTTTTCTCTCCCAAGAAATACCTGACATTTCCAAACATTTCAGTAAATTATCTCAAAAATTGATAGGGTTAATTTTTATAAACACGTGATTTTTTTCTCATACATGTATTTTTGGACAATGCTTGATTTAGTCAATAACTACAGAAACAGAAGCCTCAATATAAAAAGGACAATGCCCCTCTCAAGTCAGTAATATTCCATACGGCACTAATGACTGTCATTATAAACTGAGTGGCATCCCTGGCTCGATCATTAAGGAGCCCTCATTAAAGTAACGAGCAAAGTACCATTTTTGTCGGCTACCGACGGTACATGCATATCCTCTGGTTCATTCTTAATGGCTGCATGCATGACATCCAACAATTACGGCTTTAAAGCTTAAAAAAAATTATACGACCAAATTAAACATTACACGTACTACTGGTATGTATACCGGCAGTAGGGAAGAGTACACACAGAATATACAATGAGCTGCTTTTTTGCTCGCAAGAATATATGTAGACTTTTAAATCTATGAATTACCATCTGACTAATTACCAGTACATGTGCTCACTAAATGCCATTGCGAAAACAGGGACGTGGAAATGAACAGGCAAAGGTGTTTTAATTTGCAATTTGTTCCCAAAGCCAACAGATGTTGCTACTAGAAATCATTGATGTTTCTTTCTCTGTAAAATAATTACAGTAAGCTGGAAAAAGTGCAGAAACATGTATTTAAGCATGATCGCAAGCAAAACAACTTCTTCCTAATTACTTCAACATGTGCATCACTGAATTTAATGAAAGAAGATGCTGTTGTTTTCTCAGAAGGATAAAGTACGTAGGCGTATCTAGATCTACAATGTATCAGTTTTTGCTATTGGAAGCAAAACAACATCTTATTAATTCTGCATGTGGACTGATGGATTTCGCATTATCGTCTGTGATTATACAGGATCAAAAATAGGGCTAAACAAGACATTGCATAAATGCAAAGGGCACTTGTATACTACAACCTCTGTTATGAAATTTCAGACAAAAATGTGTCTGCAAGCTACCGATACATGTACACGTATTATTCATGGATACTGATTCAGAGCCTTTAAGGCCTTTTTCTTTGAGCAAAACAATTTCCAGCAGATTCAAAGTAAAGCTTTTCATCTAGGCAATAATATTGGATTTGGAAAGAAATCTGTCAATGTTTGTCCCTAGACAATTCTTCATATCAAATCATTGCAAAAACAAGATTTTTGTTTGAGATTTTCCTGTCATGAATAAAACTTCTTTCCGCATCTTTTGACAATTTTGTAATCTCATTTTAAACAGGAGTTTATATTAAACACATCACACCGCACCGCAAATTTTAATATCAACTGAAGGGATAATCTAATATGAACACGTAATATAACTGGAAAAACAAGGGCTGTAAATGTCTCATTCAAAAGTGAATAATTTTTGTAGTGCTAGAAAAATAGCAATTTAGAAAAGGAATCTATGTTTGGGGATGAACTCGTGCAAATAGCACCAGGAATTCAACTTTAAAATTTCCTTCTTTCCCACTTAAACTTAGCAAATTTAACAGAGGAGATTCACTGTATTAGTAACACTTGAAGTTAAAGGCGCAGTGATAAACATACCGTTTAGTCCTGGGAGATGTCTGTTGGAGGTTCTGTTTATCGTAGGCTCGTTTCTTGAACTTCTCGATGCCGGCCGCCACGTAGAATTGCTCATTCTCAAGCTCCGAGCCGTCCGTAACCAGTTTACCTGACACGTGATACAATCTAAGAGAAAAGGGCGGGAAAACATTCCTTACAAAAATGTCTTTACATTTCCATTCTTTTCTTGAAACTACTTAACGTTGTTGTGGTTTCTTTCATAAAATCTCATATTCACAAATGACATTTCTTGTGGGTTAATGTCTTTCTGCCAAAAGAAATGAAAAATTTGAACAGTTTACAACTCCCTTAAAGGGCAAAAATAGAAAAAATCTCAAAGATTCAGGCTGTTTTATAAAAGAAAACTATTTTTCTACTCAAGGTGAAGATGGGTTTTCTGAAAAAAAAAATTTCAAAAACAAAATGTGGTCTTACTTTCTGACTGCTCCATTTGTAAGGGCGACTTTGTTGGTGATGTGGTCCAGTATATGGATCATGCTGAGTAATTGGTTCTTGTGTAGAAGCACTCGGACGGCTGGGCTGAGGTCCTCTCCATTCCGGAACACACTATTTGAAGAACAAGAAGAAAACTAGCTTTACATTCAAACAGTGGTTTAAAGTATTTAAGGCAAAATTTTGCTTCTAAGAAATATTTTCTGCTTTTAATTCCATGAAATTGTGCCCTGTATGTGCTATCAGTTTTAGTTCCGCTTACCCCATCCATTAAGATACCGGTAATTGAGATCAATCGTGAGTTGCTCCCACTACAACAAATCCATCAATTAGTGAATACAATGTTGGCACTGAAAGTATAATCTTGTGACCGCAATTAAAGTAATTAGAGAGGCGGAACCATTCTCACACACTGCATGCACTTAGAGCTCCTCCAACCAACAATGTGTACATCTCAAAATGCACTTACAACTCAATTTTATGAACAGATGCGACATGAGCGCTTTAAAAACATCAGTACTTAATGGCTTTTAGTTGTGGTTATGTCTATAGTAACGATAGTATCATGCAGGCTTTTACAAACCAACTTCAGCCATAATTCCATTTTGAAAACAGAAGATAGAGAAACAAAAACAGACAAAGCTGATGATGTTCCTTTCAAAGGATCATAAAGGCAAAAATGCCTACACATGTACCGGTACATCACGTTATTTATACTCTTAGAAAATTGAAAGTCAATGGGTATTTCTAAATTATCTGTTTTCTTTTAAAGAAAAGTTTGATTTCCATTAAAAAAGGAACATGTCCATTTTACATTCTGTCGTGTGTGCAATATACATGTACTTGCTACTTAATGCAAATTCATGCAAATTATGAAGAAGAAAAAATATCGACTGCAGAATTTAAACAACCAAAATTGACAAATTCCGAATTAAATATAAACATATTTTTTAATATTATGCCACGCCGTACACTTTGCGTCCGAAGCTAAATTCCCTTTTCAGAAATGCTAAAAGCAATTTCATGTAGGATTATAAATGAAAGAAGATCCATTTTAATTCGGAGCAATTCTACGGGCACTTACTGTACGACCTTGGGGCCTTCCTGCCTTTTGATGTATTTCGCCGAGACTCGGATATTGCTGTGGCCTACCGGCTGGATTCGCTGAAAACACAAACAAAATTGGGTCAACATCAATGACTAAGACGATTGCTCAAGCAAAAATCTTTTAAAACAAAACTTGGCAATATTGGCCACCGTATCGAATAATTTAACCGTACTGATTCTAAAATTCCCTTTTTATTTTCATTTCAGGAAATTGTAATTTCCAACCATAAAACCTTGCAAAAACATTGATTCCCCTTTCATCGTACGCGTCATGTTGAGAATGTTCACTGAAATGACCAACAATTTTTTTTGCAAATAATTTGTGACAAAATTTACATAAAAACTGCACGAAGCTTTGCAATTATGCTTGAAACTGAAATAATTACCAAAATTACAATATATTTAACTTCCGATGTTTTGAGTATCTTTTAGTGCGCACAGTACGGGATTTTGCTTACCAAAAAACTGAATTCTCTTTCAATAGTTTTTTTTGTTAATTCCGTTTCGTTGGCTTTTTTCCAGTGAAGCCAAAAGTCAGTGGCCCTGATATCTTTCTCCAAATCAAAAGTCATTAACTTGCTGATGCAGTCTAATAACAACCAACTAATAAACCTGGACTATTCATGTTGAGTAAAAATATTTCATATAGGGCATAATGTCATCAAAAACTCCCAAATACCGGGTACCTTGCAAACATGTATACATAATATGTACAAATGATATTACATTTCCATATTTGAAGCTTCAATTTCAAATAGGACTAAACAGTACTCTTAAAACATACCAATAAATACATGCATTTTAAACTGTGATTCCAATGATTAAATTGAGGTCTTTTATTCCCTGAATCTCCAGGAAAAACTATTTGCCAAGATATGTAAGAACGTTATCAAAATATGTAAGAATGTCATCAGAAGGACATGTACAGTTTACCTTCGCAGCTCTCTGCCCGTTCGAGTTTTGGATACTCGGAAACATACCAGTATGTCCATTATGTTCCTCATCCATTGTGACTCAACAAGTAAAGTCTCAATTTCAAAAATCAATTTCGATGAAACATTACAAGATTCCACAGCAGAAGTCAAATGAATTATCCACCCTCAGACGACCAACAACAGTTGCAAATGTAACACAACTCTTATCAAAGTTTACTTTTAGTTGGCAAAATGCAGTGCAGTTGACCATAAAACTTCCGGAGCAAAGAGGTTGTGCCTTTGTAAATGTTAACAGTAACTTGAGCTATCAAACAACATCCAAGTTATCAAGCGAAAAACTCTCTTTTTCAGCCAATTTTGATGAAAGATGACGAGCATGTACACTGTATCGTGACAGGATCAAGCAGACGTTGAGCCTCCACAACACCTCAATGCATGGCCCGTCAAATACACAGACTGCTATGGCAACATATCCCAGACAAAGTCAAACTGAAATAACTTGTTTGCTGCTGGCAAACTGACGCAAGTACTGCAGAGCTGTACACCAAAGAGGACTCCAGTAATTGGTGATTTCACTTGGCGAGCAAAAGGATGCGTCTAAAAACACATCGGATGCACATGCCCCGTCAGTTGTTTTTCAAGGGTTCTTTTTACACTCCACTAGACAGCCTTCTTGGACGTGTCTTGAAGATGTACTTGGGCAGAAGCATCAGAGTCAAGCGACGGAGCGAAGAGGTTGGGACGATTATAAACGGCTGCTTTTTAACATCCTTTCCCGGCCCGTGCATCACCGTATGTCCCAACACAATCATCCTGCATGCTTGAGCCACAACAAAACATCCCAATTGGACAGATCTTGACAACAGAAGAACTCACCCATGACAAGAATGGATCAATCCACAAAGCCCCAATACTTCACTCACACCAATTTAAGGGGACTTCTCCATTTTCATTGAGAGAGGACGCATAACCATGTTCCTAGTAGATCATTAAATAAATATAGATCGTTACCATGGTGATATAGTTAATTTACTGCATCAGCTTTTAGCTGGACATGCGAGTCAAGTTTTAACGAGCTTGAATTTAAAACATTCATGCTTTTGTAAATATTTGTGCGTACCCAGTAGAAAGGGGATCAGAAAGAGAGAAATCCAAAAATTTCCCATAAAAATAAAAACATCAAATTAAGGTTTTCTCCATGAATACAACTGTATGTGAACAAAATGTTGCCGGCACATACACATGACTAGAATCAAATAATAATATTTAATGTACATGTAGCCTATTAACTACATGTATGGGTACGTGAACCGGTACCTTATGTACAGCTGAGAATTTTTCAGGACATTTAGCCTAAAATGTAATCTCTGAATTTATGTTGTCTGTGCAATTTTTGCGTGCGTGCGTGTGAACAAAAACAGTGAGTAAAATTTTTCTTCGCAACATTTTCCTGTAGACCAGTTCAAACCACAAGACAAAATGTAGGCCCTACCGGTATTGTATTATTCTAAATATGAATTTTATTTTAGTAGTTTAAACATTGACTTTTTATTTCACAGTTCACCCATTTAGAATATTTAATATTTTAAAATATTTTTTTTACACTTGACTGCACACATGTATACACACACATTTCAACTTCACAAGCTTACAAAATCTAAGATAAACAAGTTAGAAACCAATGCTTTTGTACCAAGTCTACATCGCTTCCCCACCATAATGCGCTGCGATATCACATCAAGATACGACTTGAAAGAAACCCCCTGAAATCTAATTTAGTTCTCTTCCATCCCATCTGATGATGGGACGATGCACAGTTGCCATAGCAACCACATTGTTAAGTTGATTCGCTCGGCTTCATCAAGGCTGAGTCGTGGGCCTTCTTATTTTTTTTTCATTTTTTTTTAACTTGTGCCAGAAATGAGACTGTTGGGAAATCATTGTGCACGTCACGGAGGTATCGTCAGAAACAATTATAATCCGTGTACACTGCACGGTAGCCTACGCCATTAAAAACTCACAACTTGGGCCTTGAAAATTTAAATTTCATTGGCAGATTTACATTGCACCCTTCCTGTAAATGTGTCCAGGTCTTGATCCGTTCTTTAAATTTTGGCCACTAGAAGCTGTACGGTATGTATGTACTAGCACACTTACAATAATTGTAACTACTCTGAAAAATTTGTATTTCGCCAAAATTGTTTGTATGAATTTTATAAAAATTATGATGTACAAAAAAAATCAACTTTTCCTTCTGCACCATAATTTATAGTATTGCCGAAGATTTTAAAAAATAATTGGTTTTTAAGACCTTTCTAGCATCTCCACACTTTAATAATGACTTTCATGGTCACCTTTTGCAGGTCATTGTTGACATTTAAAGCACCTCTAAATCTTATCGACCCAACATTTTAATATTCAATATATATATATTCATGGTAAAAAAATTGCAATGCCTAAAATATCCCCAATTATTTTTTCCAAATGATCTTCGGTTTTGAAAAAAAATTTGGTGAGCAAAATGGACGGAACTTTAACTAAAAACCAGCTGTAGGCCTATGTATTCTGAGTCACATATTGATAATTTCATTCATATATAAAAGTTTTTTGGCTTACATGTACAACTAAAAACAATACTCATCAGATTAAGATCATGAATACATTCTGGGTGCATATGGTAGCGTTTCTTCAAGGCATATGTGTAACTATGGATTAAATGCATGTTAACTGCAAAAAGACACATCGAGCTCTGTAACAATCAATGCGCTGGACATGGTCCAAATATAAGCTTTAAAATCTCTAGAACGAAGCCACGCATTATGAATAACGTCCCTGATCAAATGGCAGGCCCGTCTTATTTAAGACTTCCTGACTCAATGGTTGCCATGGATATTAAAAGATTACCCAGCATACAGCAGCACTCCACTCACGCGCTACGTAAGTATACACGTACATGACGTAATATGGATCTACATGGCCATAGGCCTACATGCATAGTATGAAAACAAAACTGTTTAACAATTTAGATATGAATAAAAGTCAAAGCGTAATTTGTCAACACATAAAAAGCTTTAAAATGGCTTTGGACACATTAATAATAAATAAAAATCAATTCTAGAACAAACATTGTATACCCCCTTTGTGGAATCTATTTCAAGTACATGTATTTATTTTATTTTATAACTAGTTTGTTTTTTTACACTATCATGACTATGATGGTACAACTTGAAGTCCTAACGATCGCACATTTTACATAGTGTCTTCATTATTTGAAACTCTACAAAATTTAAAATGTATTCCTATTTCAAAATGGACTGTTGGAAAAAGTTTTATGAAATTACTGATTCAGTCGTACTATTGTACCGGAACACAAACAGTAACCAATTTTTGTGTTGTCCCACTTTTCATGCAAACCAAATTTGAGCTACATGTACGCAGTTTCTAACTGTTCAGTTAACATTTTGAAGAAAAAAAGTGGATGACAAAAAGAAAAATAAGAGACAAATTTATAAACGAAAAAAATCTTCCAGATACAGAGATGCTGAGAAAATTATAAATGAAAAGAGTGCACGTGCGTCATTATCTGTTATCAATTTATTTACTCTTCTCAGCAATTTCTTTTCAATTTTGACAATGACTTTGTCAAAAGCCCTCCACAACAAAACCGCATCTGTTTTGTTGGCATGGCAACAACAGCACGGACGAGTAGTCTGGTTCCGCTTACTGTTGTTCTAGTGCACACTATAGGCATTTACATGTAGTGTTTTGGTAGAATGAATGTTTTTAGGAAAGAAGCCAGAATCAGACTTAAAATACTAGCAACCGCAGTTTTTGCAGAAAGTTGCATTCAGACCTGTGAAATCTACAAATTCCAAAATCTTAAAATTCAGGAAACTTGTAAAAAGTAAATTTTAATACATGACTACATGTACGTGTACCGGTAGTCACGTTTTGGGGGCCCGGGTGGGTAGGGGCATGCTTTTTTTTTAGGTCAACCGAATGGTTCACGGATCTTACAACATGTACCGGTACAATGTAATTCCCTTTTTAAAAAATCCTTTAGAGCCATAAATCAGGAAAAAACATTACATGTACTTCAATAAAAAGCATTTGATTTAAAACAATACAAAAGAGAAAACTTTTGAGAAATTATAAAAACAGTTATACAATGGAAACTCAGCGACTTCGACATACAAGACGCACATTTGCTATCGAGCTACAAAAGCAGTTTACAGTGTTATTGCTGTAGGAATTTAAAAAGCTCTGCTCATGTTACAAATCCCTTGAAAGGGTGTTACAGCTTCTGTAAAAATAGCCACGTCATAAAAAAAGGTTGCATTCATGGCTACTTCATGTACATGTACTTTTCCCTGAAAAGCCTTCAATATGTACCAATGTAGCAGTACATTGTACATGACCTGACAATTAGGCCGTTTGTTTAACAGTTCTTTATTTACAATGCCAAAAGAAATCTTCCAAAGTCCTAAATAGCAAACAACAGGGGTAATCTTTTCGATCAATAGTTCAGAGGTGGTGCTGTCAGTATAGAATCAATATTCCTATAACAACCACAAACACACGTCCATTGGGGGCTGCAGCACTCAGGAAATTGGTTTTCCGCTATTAAAAGCATTATCCCAAAGGCTGCCGTCAAACACAGCTGTACATTGTAGTGTATCAGTATCATCAACTTTTTCCACTTCTATAAATTTGAGAAACTTGCAAGAAGAAAAATCTAAAAATAAATAGTATGCACAATGAATTTCAGATCATACATGTAAAAACGTTTTCAGGCTTGCTAGCTTTCTCTTCCATTGTAATGATGTTGATAGTGACTGAGAAAAGAGTTGTTCCAGCTTGAACCTTTTTAAAGAATTTTCTTTTCAAATTGGACCACTAATTAATGATTTTTTTCTCTTATTTTAGTGAGGGTTTTGATAAAGCTTCTTTCCCAAATACAGTCAGGTCGATTTTCAGCCATAACATCCCAAAATGGTTCCACAAATGTGTACATGTGATGTTAATCTTCTGACCTTCATACATGTATTATGAATTTTACTGAACATCAAATTTTCTGAAAAAGGCCATTTTTAAATGTTAATTTCCAAATAAACAATTCTTGTATAGATCGTAATTTTTAATATTACATTACACAAAAAACAAAACTTAAAGCAAATGCTGAAAAAAAGTCTTGAAGCCTTTTGCCCTATACTTAAATATAAATTTCACACCAATATCAAATCATAAAAAATTAAAACAATTTCCACAGATTTACGTTCATGTTAACCTCAAAACCAAGGTTTGAAAATCATCTTAGACTTAATCGAATAATGTACCTGGGTATCTCTCTGCCAATTTTGTCTAAATATAAGTAAAGTTTTGTTATTTACTCTGTATCCAAGGAACGCATAATTACGAGCACTCTTGAAGGTCAACATCAAGCTCAATCTGTAGTCACCTGCCCATGTGATATATATCGTCCTTCATGCATCGGTGCGTTCCGCTGGCGAAAATGTGATCAGCACCTCAGAATTAGTCAAATTTTATTACTGGAGAGAAGTGCGGTTCAATCCTGTACAAATTGGCGTGAAGTGTTGACAACTTGTTTGAATTTTAAGCGTTTGTTCAGAATTTGGTTAGAACCAAATTAAACGAGCGTGTTTTTTCAAGAATCTAAATTGCCATTGATTTCGATTCAAAACCTTGATATTAAAAACCTTGAAATTCACCATGCCTCATTTGCAAGCTTTTATGTACAATATCACGGTACATTACATGTACATGTACACATGTACACGAATGTTCATGAATTTATCAAATGACGTGAAGACGTCCATTACCTGAACATCGGTCTGCACATTAGTGCGCGACTGAGAACAATTTAAATTTCAGTTAAAGACATCATTCCCCCAGTCAATGTGCGTTCACATTTTTTTTCTCACAGCTGTGCACTATCCATGTACAATTGTACCAGTGCCATTAAAATATATGAAGTAAAAAGTCATCCAAAAACCACCATTTTGATCTTTACAGTATACGGTACATAAATCTTGTACTTGGTTTGAATGCATGCATAGGGGGCCTAATGTGTGTACGTGTACATGTCAGCGAGTCATTTCTTCAACATCAGCTATTAGATGAATAATTGAAATTGATTCGTGCTTCAAACTATCCACTGACTGCAAAGGGCAAACAGGTCTTTATTTCCAAGACTGTGCTCTTGACGATGCTATTCCTATCTACACAATGAGATTGTCAATTAGATTGGATTTAAAATACAGAGAGGCAGGCATTTGCCTCGATCGACTCCAGGAGGACCTTTTTGAAGTTCATGGTCAATTACTGCAAATATCATCCTTCGGTTAACAAGGTACGTACCGGGTAGGAATGCTAGAAAGTACCCGGAAACGAAGTGATTTAATGAGAAAAACCTTGCTCGTTGTGAAGGGGTTGGTATCAAATACCGTGTGAAATTATTCCACAGTTTCATTTATAAGAAAAAAACAAGTAATGAAAATTATAAAGGTGGATTAAAATGGTGACACTTTTCATAACTTGACAATAATTCATGAATATAGGCCTACTGTGAATATTCACCCATCCACTGGGACAGGTACTGACACTGGCTGATTGAGAATAATGTCCCAAGAGCAGTCATTGAAGGAATATACATGAGAGGCTGCAATTCAAAACACAATGCAACTTACGAGTCCTAAATATTGCATAGGCTGCCTCAACATGAATGTCTACTGAGCTTAAATACCGCTAGTCGTACATTGTACATGGGCTAGTTGTAATTACTGCACCCTACATCATGCTACATGTATGAACTTCAGATTTTTTAGCAATTGTATTGCTTCATACAAAAAAAACCCTAAAATATAAAAAACCAAAACCCAAAAGATCCAACATGTTATTAATTATTAAGGATGATACACGTATGCATAAAAGTAGCGACTTTGTAAATTTATTTAAAAAAAAAAATTTAAAGACAAAAAATTTCAACTTAACACATCACAGGTGCCAAAGAAACATAGGCAGAATCCCGTATTACAAAACGAAAACCTTGGACAATGTCTGCCTGTCAACCTCCCATAATTCATTGCAGGTGATAACACAAAATTTGCACCGCCAATGGCAGTTTTGCTCAAACTCAAAGTATTAAATTCATAACTAAAATTACAGCCTTTGTCCTTTCCAAATGTAAAATTTTGAAATTTTACTCAATCTTTCTGCTTTGTAATTCGTCACTCCGCAGAACTTTATATTTGTAATTTCTGCAGAATGACAGATGTGCCCAACAAAATCCACTCTTGCACGCTTGGAAAGTTTATAGCCCTCAAGACATTTTACCAATATCACTCAAAGGACAAACTAATGCTATTTATTTACTGAACTGTGTAAAGCTAATGTACCGGTATGTTTCTCACATGCTTAAAGTCTTCGGGACTTGAATTTTGCCCAGGAACGGCAAAGGCCCTTTACCACACCATTGCACACAATTCAGTCCTTCATCCATAATACATGCTCAAGTATCAATTACATGCTTGAAGAAGACAAACATGCCACCAACAACACATCATTGCTTCCTGCAATGTATAGACATTAACTTCATGTACTTACTCTTTGTGTGGGCACCCTTCTTCTTCTGATGTCATTTGCACCACTTTTGCCATAGCTGTAAAAACGTAAAATGAAAAAAAAATCATGCATTACTTATGTTCTCATTAACACAATTATTTCCAGATTTAAATTTAAATCCAATATTATAACGTTGAACAAATCCTTCATATGTACTTGACAATGCATACAATTTACATGACAATGTTCCTTAATTTTGGAAAAGAACAACCACACATATTTCAGTTTAATTTAAAAATGAGATTTGTAAATTTTACTTAGCCTTAGAGTAATGTAGCACATAAAAACAGCATGTGTACTGATGTAAACATAATTTCTGCATACATAACCACTTTTTTATATTTTGATTCAATAATGTATTGAATCCTAGTTAAAACGTCATAGTTAAAAGATCTAGAATTTGGTTGCCTTATCTGAGGTAATGTATCAGCATTGCTTCGTGTATATGTGTGCATACAATTTTGATGCATGTTCACGAGAATACACCGACATTTTATACAATACTGCACAGGCCACAGATTCAAGTAGAAATACGAATGAATGATGACAACTTTCCATTAAGATCAACAAAATATGTAATAGTGCTCCCCAATACGGTAGGACACAGTGATTCATATGATTATAAGCATAATTGCATCTTCATATTCATAATTTGGCCAATTATCTTCAGTCTTGAGAACAAAATTTAGAAAAAAAGCATAAGCGAACCGCTCAGTGCACACTGCGTACAGCCCCATTCACAGCCACTGGATCTGGCACATGCACACGTTCATTACGCACAACGAACCACACACAATTCATGTACCGGTTCATGTAGTCAAGTTACTATATTGGATGGTCAGCAATTGCAGTCAGCAACTGCACTCATTACAATTGTGAACCACGGAACTGAGGGTACGCTTTTCCGTCTCATGGTGGACGACCATTTTGCTTAGTGGTTCGACCGCTTTTCTCACTACGACCTACATGTAGTTATATTAAATCAAGCACCCTGCTCTATTTTTGTTTCATGCCGGTCCAAATTTGATTACTAATTAAGCACTAGAAAGAAGAATTTATTCTGAGTCTATTTTTACATGACTCAATGCCGAGTATGAAAAAGTACATCTGGAGATTTCCAATTTCAACTGAAGTAGAAAGTCACAGAATTCTAAAATTCAATTACACATCGCAGAAATAGTAAGTATTGCACTGGAATCTCATTCCACTAGCAGGACTAGGAATGAATGAGTTTCCTTTTTATTAACGAGCACTGAAAAGAAAAAAAATTCCTTGTGTAAAATTTTTGAAGGAATGTAGAATTTTGACAACAGTGCTCAAGTGATCTATCACGTTTTGGGTCGCAATAACGCTATGGCCGAGCTGTAAAAAAAAATGGCAATACATGAACTACTTGCATCAGTCCTTCTGCTTGAGTGATTTGAGATGTGCGATTGCATCCACACGGTGCACGCCATCGCATGCTTAGTAAACGGTAAAAGCTTCCCGAGAAGTGCAAATAATCGCACGCCTTAAACCCTCTGTATTGCATACATTCACTTTCCTAGTGATCCTGATCCTGTTAAAAATTTGGTAATAATGTCAATGTTTTTCAGGACCTCGGACCGAAAACATTTTGAAAAATTGAAGATGGCCGATGAAATGCATTGATACTGCATTCTTTCTCTGATCTTGTACCGAGTCCAGATAGTTTAATTTTCTGATCGTTGAACAAGTTGAACTGAAAAGAAGCCTATGCCTACTTTTCTCAAAAGAAAAAAAAAAGTGGCCTCGTTTTCCCACTTCAAATTTAATCAATTCAATTCAAAATCTGCTTCACTGTTCACATTCATGCATCAAATTCCTGAAATTAACTTGGCCCATGTGTCTTATTCCTCCATGCATGTACTTTCCAAGAATGTATTAAACACCTGTATGATTTGAATCACACTGAAGAATGCGCCGGTGGTACAGCACCACGTTTGGCTTTGGACTACTCACTTCAAACCAACAAATCTTTCAGTTCCACTGAAGACATAAAATTTGTTGTTTTCCAGCAGGTCCAGCGAGTTGACGGAATGGCCTTGAGTCGGCGTGTAAAGTTTACGGATTGCACCAAAAGACGGTTTCTCTTTCGACGTCAAACTGTCCAGGAAAGATTCCAAAGTTCTGGTCTGTTTAAAGTTGACAATCACCCGCTTGGCGTTGTAAAACTTGTCCCCATTTTTGTACAGATGCACGCTCCGGGCCGGCGGGGCGACAGCCATTTTGTGAAGTTCGCCTTTCCCCGTCGTACTTCCAACTTTCCCCCGTTGGGGTAGCGAAGCAAACCCGTTGAATTCAGCTGCAAATAACACAATCTGCAACCACTTTTAGACTTCCAATGTGTTTGAACACTCAAGTATTTGTAAGCAGTGTCTCTTGCTTGGCTAGATCACATATTTTTAATTATTTGTGCAAACTTATTAAGCTAAGTAAGTAAGTGACGACAACTTGTGGAATATCAAAGTACGGTACGTGTTCGACATGTTTACTGCACAACACGCGGCATCAAAGAACTGTTTACGCGAGGGCGCTGTTGTTATTGTGCTTGTCGTCCGTAGTTACGGCATGAATAATTCATTAGCGCAAATGCTGGCGCAGCATGCAGCATACCTGCGATTTTCCGCACAAAAAAAGAGGCCGGGATTTAATTTTAAAACAAAAAAAAAAGAAACACAGGAGCAAAACTACAGTTAAATAATAATATTAAAAAAAAACCTTTAGAAAGTTATTCATCCGGTTATATGCAATGACCAACGACGATTGCAACCGAACACTGACATGGGCGTCGTTGTTTTTTT